ATTTAATACAATTAGCCTTATACACTAAGATTGAACCTGAGCCAGCATGCTTTGAAGATGTGATCGAAGATCCTTAGTAGATCGAAGTAATAAAAGAAGAGTTGATAACAATTGAGAAGAATCATATGTGGGAACTAACTAATCTCCCAAAGAATTAAAGAGCGATAGGAGTAAAATGCGTATACAAAACAAAGTTGAAGCTGGATGGAATAGTTGCAAGATATAAAACCATACTTGTGCGAAAGATTTTCTTCAGAAGGAAGGCTTAGATTACAAAGAAGTTTATGCACCAATGGGAAGGATGGAGAAGATAGGAACTGTTGTAGCTTTTGCAAGCTACAAAGGATGACAAATACATCAAATGGATGTTAAATAACCTTTTTTAAATGGTGAATTAGGGGAGGAAGTGTATGTTACACAACCACCAGGGTTCAAGATTACTGGAAAAGAACATAAGATTCTTAGACTGAAAAAGGTTTTGTATGGCCTAAAAAAAAGACTCCAAGAACCTAGAACATTAAAATCGATGGTTGTTTTATACAATAAAAATTCTCGAAGTGTGAAGTTGAGTATGAAATTTACTCGAAGATCGAGAGTGATGATATGTTAATAATATGCCTTTAAGTCGATAATTTGTTGATAACTGATAGGAAAATTACGTGATCGATGATTTTAAAAGAAGGATGAAAGATCAGTTTGAGGTGAGTAATTTAGGGAGATTACCGTTATTTTTTTCGTATGGAGTTTATCCAAGGCGAGAAGGGGATTCTAGGCCACTAAAGTAAATATACTAAAGAAGTGCTAAAAATATTTTGCATGAGTGGATGTAATACGATAATTACACAGTTTGTAAATGCTACGATTTATAAATAGATGATTTTTTGTCTAAGATATCTATTTTGTAGTAGACCAAATATTTATTTTGGTGTTAGGTTGCAAAACAGATTTATGGAGAAACTCAAAGTATCTCATCATCTTTCAGTAGCTAAGAGAATTCTAAGGTACGTAAGAGGAACACTCGATTATGGTATTCTATTACCTAATGTTGCACATCCGAATGGAAGAGAGTTAGCCTGATATTCCGATTTAGATTAGGTTGGTGATAAAATTAGTTTCAGAAGCACATCGAGTTACATGTTCTTGTTAAAAAAATCATCGATTTCATGGTGTTTGAAGTTACAAACTTTCTTCTTGTGAAGCAACATATATGTTTGCCATATACACAACTTGTCAAATATTTTGGATCGAGAGTTTGGTAAATCGAGTTCTAAGTAGACTTGAGAAGACAAGGACATTGAGGATCGATAATAAGTCAGTCATCAATTCGGTAAAAAATCCAATTCATCATGGGAGAAGAAAACATATTTGATTAAAATTTTATTTCATCATAGATGAAGTAAGGAAGAAAAAGCTGAAGTTAGAACACTATGACACTAAAGAGCAGTTGACAGATATCATGATGAAACCTTTGAGTAATCGAATATTTGTAAAAATACTTAAACTTAAAATTGATTGCTAATTAGAGGATTATGTTAGATAATAATTCAACAATTTTTTTGTTATGATGATTAGCCTAAGAAATTTTCAATTTTTCTATGATAAATACTCTATTTATATCATATATGTGTAGAGTGAGATCATGTGTATAATAACATACAATAACTACTTAATGGTCGACAACCTCTTTATGTAATTCTTTTCTCTTCTTTTACACTATCCACGAACAATGATCATTATAAAATATTTAATAACCTTCTAATTAAATAAACCTTATTAATATAATTACACGATCAAATTAATTGTATTTACAAATTTGATTTTCTGGACAATTCTTTAAAAAAAAATTGAGTATCATATAAAAGTTTTCCCATATAATTTTTAAATTTTTTATTTGAAATTTATATAAAGTAATTTTATTCAATTTTTATCTTATAAAACTTGTTATCAAATGTGTATTATCATTGCATATCCCATATCATTCATTAACAATTGATAATATTAATATAATAATAAATATTTAACAATTGATTGTATTAATATAATAATAAGTATTATTGTTAAGATAATTAGGATTGTCAAAATGCATAATCCAATCCCATCGCGTAAAATAAAAAAATTGATAACTTACCTATATTTTAAAACATGTGATTCTATATTATATATTAGGTTAATAGACTAAAAAAATCTTAATATTTATTATCAGTAATTAATTAATCTAAAATAATAATTAATTTTAATATTAAATATTGAAATAAATGGTTATTAGAGACATAGTCTATTATTTGCTTTTAAAATAATAAATCCTTATCAAAATAATTTATAATACATATGTATTTTTTAATAAAATAATAATAATTTTATTTTTATTTAAAAATAATTATTATTTTATAAAATATGACACTTACATAAGCTTATCAGGACCATAACCTGACGACCTAAAATAAATCAAACCTAAATTAATTTAAACCATAATTTTATTGACCTAATTGATTTATTTCTCGGTCTTTTGAACTAATAAATCTATTTTCACATTTCTAAATAATATAATAAGTTATCATCCAAATATTTCAATTGAAATATTTTAATTTTTTATTAAAATAATATATATTTCTTTTTAAATGTATTGATATGAATAAATATTTTTAAAAAATTATGGATAAGTTATATTATAAATCCGATTTTCAAAATAAAACAATTATACTTTACTATAACTTTTTTTAGATTTTAAAAGAAATCCTGTTACCACTTATATATATATATATATATATATATATATATATATACATATATATATATATATATATATATATATACTTTGTTCAGTTTCTATTTATTATATAATAATTATAATATTACTGTTATTGATAATATTCCCTATATTATTATAATCTAATTAATAATAATAAATTTGATATTATTATTAATATTAATAGTTATTATATTATTTTATTGTTAATAATATTAAAATAATAACAATAAAATAATAATAATAAAATAATAATAATAAAATAATATAATTATAATCATTAGTATTATTATCACATTATTAATTATATTAATAATATAAATATTCTTCTTATTATTTTTTTATTATTAATTATAATAATAATAAAATTATATAATAAAAAATTATTATTATTATTATTTATAATAAAAAATAATACTAATTTTATTGTTATATTTTAATAGTTATATAATTATTTATAAAAAAACTAATATTATTTTAACTTAAAATAATTATTTTAATATATTTACTCATATTGTCTATTATATATATAATACTAATTTTATTATTATATTTTAATAGTTATATAATTATTTATTAAAAAAACTAATATTATTATAACTTAAAATAATTATTTTAATATATTTAATTATATTGTCTATTATATATATATATATATATATATATATATATATATATATATATATATATATATATATATATATATATAAATTATATGTGATAACTTATCGTGAGTAATGTAAATGATATCTCAACTAGATTGACATACCTAAAATCAAATTATCCTCCTCTTGCATCTTGCTTGGAAAAAATCTTGGAAAAAACCGTTGCCGAAGAAACTTCATGTTTACCATTGTCACTGACTGACTCATACATCCTCATTGGATCTTATAGAAATCCTTAAAAAAATATGAAAGACCAAATCAAAACTCATGTCACAAATTTACTGAACAAATCAAAATTCTAGGAGTTCAAACCTATTTTTTAAAAACTCGAAGTTAATTTCGGGAGTGACATTAATAATAATTTCGAGAGAGACATTAGCATATAAGTTTATTTTATTTATATTATTTTAATTTTTATTAATAATAAATATGTATACATTTACTAATATAATTATTAATAATAATAATTATTAATATTATTCTATTATTAATAATAAGATAATAATATTAATAATTATAATTACATGGTTAACATGATTATTATTTAATATTAATAATAATAACATAATTATTAATTATAATAATATAGTAATTATTATTTCAATATTAATAATAAAGTAATATAATAATTATTAAATTTAAGAATGATTTATATTATTAATAATTTTTAATATTAATTACAATAATTTAATAATTATTATAATATAATAAATAAAATCATATTACGATGTTTATATTAAAATGTTACGAATCAAGTTGTTTTCAAGTCATGATCGCACAACTACCGAAATCCATAATTTTATATCAGTTAAAAACAAAATTTAAGAGACAACTTTATTAGACACATTTATGTCAAATTTATTACTGTAATTTTTTTTAATACTTGTTAAGAAATTACATCACCAAAGTATTGATTTAAAAATGACATTAAAGTATTTCATTGATAATTAGAGAAAAATGACGTTATATAACTTAATATAATTATTAGTGGAATCACGTTGATTGTAATGAGAGAGCATTTTATATTCTTGCTTTGCTTGGTCCAGAAATTGCCAAGTTCGCTGAGGTAATGTGAGAAGCATTAACACTATAAAAAATGCTTCCACAAGTACACTATTCAGATACCGTAATTCGTCTTGCAAAGCAGACGGAAATCATTGGTTTTTCCTATAAAGATATGAAACTTGAAGAGAGCATGATGAGAACTTGTGTGATTTTCTATATGTACAACAAAAGCTATTACATTCAATATAATACAAGAACTATTTGATAGTATATTTTAGCAAAAAATGGGAGACACGGGCCTTCTACAAGATTCATATAGATATTGAACAGATTCCCTCCAACTAACCGTAACTGCTATCATCGGGTAGGCTTATGATTCCGGAAACCAGCATTACAATCTCAATCCTGATATGGTGCTGAGAAAAATGGAAAAGGTGATACCTTTGAAACGGAAGGGCAACTGGGTTCATCTGACTGTCTGTCTGCAACTGGCTCATCTTGACCAAGTGCACTAATTGATAGAATTTCAATAAAGCACAGGACTGTCTGGACTGTTGAAAGTTATGAACAATGATATGATAGTCCTAGTGATGATGGGCACTGCTTCCAAAAGTCGAGGAGAGAGGGGCTGATCCAGGCATCTGTTGGGGGGATAGGTCAGCACTAGGGGCATCAACATGGGGTGAATATGGCTTTGTCACTCTATTTTTGAGAACTCCCTGAATAACAAGACAAAATAATTTCACTAAGAAGTCAGCTCTAATATAGAGCATAAATAAACATTGGGAACAAATAACTGATGCGTAAGCACAATTGCTTGAAGAACCAAAAAATTTACCAATGAGTAACACATGAAATAAAACATACCTTTGATACTCCTGGGCCGTATGTGTTCAATGCATGCTCAATTGAAGAGTAAGCTTGAAGAGCTTGACGAGTTTCAGGGATGCATTTTATAATGCGATGATTTTCTTTCGTATCCAATGACCTAGACCGCAAATATAAAATGAGCCTTGAGGGGGGACCTTTTGGGTTGTCTTTTTTGCCATGTATCAGTTCCATGGTACCAAGGTCATCCCACGGAATATCCCACATTATTGAGCATGGATCCCTAGCGGGGCTGAATTTCCTCTGGGCAAGAATATTGGATGGTTGCTGCCAATGAGAAAGATTGATAAGTAACATTTGACTCAATAAAATGATATATTATTCATTGTTCTCAATCACGACTGCATACTTGCAATAGTAAGACTCTTGTATGCGTGACCACGAGGATTTTTCCTTTTGGAAGCATGAAGTGATCTTCATAAGCATCTGATAAGGCAAACTTTCCACGAACTTTGAACAAATCAACCTGACCAAAAAATGAACCTGATTCTGCCAACTGCAGTATTACCTTCAAGACGAAAGTATGACAATTGTTTAGAAGCACTTGAAAAGAAAGTCAGTCAGAACACAAACAATAACCAAGAGTAGGAAAAAGAAACGAGGTATTTTCATTGATAAGACTATTTGGTAGTGCAGTGTAACTAGAAAATTACAAAGCATAATATTTTCATAACATGACCAACCACATAATTCACGTTCACCCTCACTAGCTGCTCAATATCTCCTGGAAATAGAGTGATAGCGATTCAAGGATAACAGCTAATGAAGCTTGAAATTGGTAATACTAAAAAAGTTTTAGGTGTTGCTACTAATTAATAGTGAGTCAATAAAATTTGGTTGATAGAGGGGTGAACATTATGTCACTGAAGGTGATAGTTTAACAAGAAATACAAGAGGCGGGGACTACAAAAGCTGACATTTTAGTTATTCTCTAATGTCCGAAATGGTCAATAAAATAAGTAAGATAAATTGAACCCTAAAACTCTTTAATAAACAGAAGTACTGCTTTAAAGAAGGATCCTCAATTACATTAATACAATTCTAGCTTTCGCCTTTCAGCCTATAAACACACAATCTGACAAAAAGTTGTACAATATAGAACTAATTTCTATATATTTAAACACTCGTTTGTTCAAAGTAACAGAAGGCAATATCTCTTCTCTAATCTTCCCATCATGGGTATAAGAAACCGTGTCTAGATTTCAATTAGAATTAGCTTTCATTCTTTCTATTGAACATATCATTTACAACATTTTATGATTTAAATCTTAAATGTTAAAATAATAAACTTTAGATCTGCAATAGCAAGTTGAGCCCATGTTACCTGTCCTTGAGCCTTGTACTCATCATATAGTTTAAGCAAATTATCACCACTTATAACACGAGGCAGTCTCCTCCGGAGAAGTTGTTCGTCAGATGTTATAGCAGATGCAATTCTCATCCTCATAGCATTAGCACCTTCAGTTGTTTTTGACAAAAGATCCAAAACTCCACTCACTGGCTGTGCAGCTGCACCAATAATTCCCTTCCCAACACCCTGAACAAAACCTTCAACACCAGAAGATTTTGCTCCTTCCAGAGGCTTTGTTAAAATGCCAGTCACCCCTCTGAATAAACCTTTAGCAAATGCTCCGCCACCCTCTCTTATAACATCACCAAAATCCTCCACACCTTTGGTTTCCTGTCACACAAAGATGTATTAAACTCAGGTATTAGGATCTTATCAAACCACTCCACATGATCTTGCGTCTTAAAACTAAAATAATAAGAATGACAAAAACCAGAGAGGAAAACTGTATTCCTAAAATCTGGTATACAAGATCAACATGATAATCTCTTTCCATCAGTCCACCCAGCGTCCATTCCATACTATCTATATTCAATATGTTAAAATGAATTTGAGGCATGGATTTAAACTTTTATCTTCTCTTATTTATTTTTTAAATTTATTTTGGGCAGATTCAATGAGCATGAATTACTGTCAACTGTTATATTCTAGAAGAACTATTAGATGTTGGTTGGTATTAATTGATTCTAAACCAGCATAAAAATTATTGCAGCCAGTTATTTTGTTTTCCAAGGGGTTTCATGATATTTGAATCATAATAGCTATAATTTTAGTAACATGTAACACAGGAAAAAGTGCGGTCAAGTGTGTGTTGTGTTTTAATAAACCACAATAAATATACTCTAATAAAAGTGCATGTTAAGAGAATAGTAGCCAGATTGCAGTTAATATGCTGATATTTGAAGTGTAATATTGTAGGTGAATGACTAACTGATATGAAGCACGAGAACCAAGGAAAAAATTACACAGGAGAAAATCCACCAAAACCTGTCTCTGTCGACTTTGAATGAATTTTTTATCCATAGACAATGCAGCTACACCTTTACTCATGTGTCCAAGTGCACTACTTGCATTGCCCAATATATCCACACCTGAGAGAAGCTGAAGTGGTTGTCCCAAAAGATCCTTTCGGATATTTGAGATGGCCATGCTAATCATAGAACTCTGCCTCATGCATACGTTCTCATTAAACCTCTGGTTTATCCTAACCTGGTCAACGAATACACATTTATTGTTAGCATTATTTCACACTATTCCCCATATCCTAAAAAAGAGTAAACATATTTGTGATATTATAGAGCAATTACTTAAGAACTGTTAGAGGGATCTGAAAATATCTGGGATATTATTATGTTTGATAATTTATGAGGTTATGGTTAACCATTTCTTTTTTATTGTGGAACTGGTGTTTTGGGATTCATAATTAAATATAGGAATTGACTATTTTTGTTTCCTTTTTTACCTCCCTGTTTTACGATTTATATACTAGATCAATCATTTAAATAATATATGAATAAATTCTCATGATAGTACTCAGTTGTTATTCTCTTGGTGAAATTTAATCACTTTGAGGAACTTACACAATGTACTCCTAGCTTGAAAACAAGATTGACAACTAGCATAAAGTACAACAGCTTTTGAAAGAGGTTCACCAATTAAGAAACTTACAGAAAGAAATTTACATACTTACAGGCATATTTTCCGTGTTACCCAATGCAGTCATCAAGGATGCCCAGAACCCAAGCACACCCCTTGGTCTTTGACTTGGTGACATAGCCATCGACACTTTGAATCGAACTTCCGAAATATTAAGTACACTGTAATTCAATATAAATGTCATATTCAATTTCAAGAAAACCCTACAAAAATAATGATGCATTTCCAAAATGGCTTACATACCCAATTTGAATGATTGGATCAACTGATGCAGCCGTTGTTTGAGAATCATACAGCCTACTGAGCTTCACCTGCTGGATCATTTCATGAAGGCGCCAAATAATAGGTTCATGAATGTTTATCAGAAAGGCAGCAGAACTTTCTGGCCCCTGCTTGCAAGTAACCAATTATAAAATAAAAGTCTCATAATTTATAAATAAGATAAACATCGACAATTTTTTTTTTTTTTTTTTTTTAGAATAGTAAATATAACATCGTGATGCTCACATGAAGACCAATATATGGATATACACAAAGATCCACCGATCCATTTGACTGCATTGTAAGGGAGCATTTCAGGATATAGTCAGTTTCTGATGCACCTCTCTGTGGCCTGAAGAGAACTGGCATTGGAGTTAATGGCAGCTGGTTGTCCACTTGTAGCCCACACATTCTGACTTTGAATCTGGAATAGGATTGGAATTATATTTCAAAATCAAATGATGGTACATACAGGATAACTAAACAGAAATAAACCTATAGTAAATTTAAATCTTCTATGCAAGTGATTAATGAGTTGTATTAGTTTACCAGGACACATGAGAAAATAACTAATGGAAGATAAATAACCATGATCCAGGTTCTATCGAAATTCAAAGACACAGCTGTTGGTAATCTTACCGACTGATTCCGGAGCCCAAACCAGTTGAATACGCCAGAACAAGATTCTGAACAGAGAGATACAAAATTTCCTCAGGTGTATGGTCAATAATAGATATCCCAAGCTCAGCAAGATCAAAATTGATGTGGAATTCACAATCTGTAATTGACATTAGTTGTTGCTTTTGAGAATCATTCATTGATGATAAATTCCTTCTCGAAATTCCCGTAGATTCATTTTCTGGTAACCAATCACTGATCTTAACAACATTTGTTTTTTCTTCCTTAATGATAGTAACACGCAAGGCTGTAGTTGGTCCATCTTTTCCGTGGACAGGTTGATGATCAGAAATTTCATCAATATCATACTTTAGAGATGTCATTGGGTCAGTTCCATCTACCAAGAGTTCCAATAAACGTCTTCTACCAAGATCTTCCCACATAAATGAAGCAGCAGAATTTGGAAAAAGCAGCTGCCAGGAATCACTAATACCTTCAACTTGACGAAAGCGAATGGGCAAGAACATGGAGCGATTTTCAATCCTGTGAACATACATGCACTTAGATAACACGAAAAAGCTAAATAATGATCACAATACTGATGAAGTGTGAAATGAACAAGTCCATGAAAATTTTGGTCTTGACTCTAAACGGAATCAAGATCATGACATTAATAATAGATGATGTAATGGGGAATCCTGTATACTTCAAAATTAATATTAATAAAACGTAGTAGGTTATGTGAGTTACGAAAATGTATATTAATTATGGTAGATGAGAGTTTTTGTTTTCTTCCCCTAATCCCTTTCCAAGTTGGTATTAGATTCCTGATCTTGGGGGCTTTGCTTCAGCATTCAAATCTGCCGCTGCCATCTTAGTTGTGGTTTCTCTTTTTATGGTTTGGGTTGGCCAAAGTGCACCCACCTTAACTTTTGGGGGTTGCCTAAAGTGCTGCCACCACTGTTCCAACCATATCCACCATTCGTGTCACTGTTTTTGCCATCGGTATTGTCCTAAAGAGGAGGTTCTATATCTTATGTTGCTTGGTCCATTTGCCTGTTTGCAATGTTGAGGCACTATTCATACTATAGGGGACACTATTCATGCAGGAGGTTCTTTATCTTCTGTTGCTTGGTCCATTTGACTGTTTGCAATGTTGAGGCACTATTCATACTATAGGGGACACTATTCATACATTATTACATGGCTACTGATGCATCTTCTACCATTTCCCTAATAAGTAATGCCAATCTTCCACATATGCTTGAAGATAATCGTCTCAATAGTAAGAACTATCTTGAGTAGGCCCAATTCATCATGCCCACATTGAGGGGTATGGGGAGACTTACCCATATTGAAAGGGAGGTTGTATCCCTAGATAACCCAATCTTTCAGACTTGAGACAACAACGACTCTTAGAGCATAACATGGCTACGGGTCCATGATTACATAGATCAACCAGAACTATATTTTCCACATCACTGCTTGTGAAATTTGGGATGATCTAGAAAATACTACTCCAATATATCTCTACTTTATATGAACGGGAAAGAAAAATATTAAGTGCGAAGAGCTAGAAAATACTTACTCTAATATATCTCTACTTTATATGAATTGGAAATAAAAATATCAACTGCAAAACATGGTACTCCCATTGTTGCTGACTAGTATGGGGTCTTGAAGGGTCTATAGGTCGAACTAGGCCAATATATGAAGCTTGAAAATAATAGAGATACCATTTTAAATTCTTGTCCAGATTGAATCCCAAGTATGTCCCTATTATGACCCAAATTTTTGGAGACGAAAGGCTTCCCACTATTTTTAAAAGTCATCTATACTATTCAGCAAGAGGAGACTCAGAGAGTAGTCATGATGAATGAGTTGTTCACTAAAGGAGTTGCCTTGCTTTTTGGAAAGGCTTTCAAACTCTAAACCTCAAACCCTGAGAATGTAAAGCTCAACTCAAAAGGAGAAGACTCTCATTTAATTGGAAAAATTAAAGGCACAATCCTCAAAGAAGGTTTATTAGGTGATTTCTAATTCTAAAGGTTATGGTAAGGCTCCTTCATTCTCTTCTATTGAAGAAGAAATGCTTGACTTATGAGCGGAGATTGAAAAAGCTTTGCAACTCTCATGAAATCCCATAATGAGCCCTGTTCGGGTATCTGCAATCTAACCATAACGGGCAAGAATTCTAACTCTTTTTTTAACGTTTCTACGTTTTGGATTCTGATATAGTTGACCATATGACCCCTTATTCTCCTTGCCTATCATCATATGATGCACTTCACATTCCAAAAAATTTCCAATAATCTTGTTTCTTTCAGTTCATAAACTTACACATAACCTAAACTAATTTGTAACCAAAACCTATCATTGTGTTTTTTCAAGATCTTGCCACAGGGAGGACTATTGGAATTGTGAAGGAACCTGAAGGGTTATATTACCTTAAAAGGCTTGTGAATCAAGCGTAATATCATTAAGGAAATGATTACCTCCTGCCTTTACTGCTGCAATACTTCCAAGTCTTTTAAAATTTGGCTTCTCCATCATTGTCTTAGACATTTGTCATTTTATGTTCTTAAATTTCTGTTTCCTAATTTATTCTCAAAGAAATATGTCGAGTGTTTTAAATGAGATGTAGGTTAGTTTGCCAAGCAACATTGTGCCACATATTCTCCTAATAATACAAAAATTACATGAGGTTGAACATCAAATTGCACTTATATCACAGGCCTTTTCTTCATGGAAAAAGATTACATTTTTCCTATATTTGTCGAATCTTCTATATGATACACACATTTACCTGGAAAATTCTTCTATATGATACACACATTTACCTGGAAAATTCTTCTATATGATATACACATTTACCTGGGAAATTCTTTTATATGATACACACAATTTAGAAAATCTATTAAATGCCAGTGTTGTGATAATGGGAGAGAATATATAAATAGAACATTGCTCAAATCTTGTGTGGTAATGTTCATGAACTAATGTGTTGATACACTATAAGAAAATGAGATTGTAGAAAGAAAAAAATAGACATCTACTTGAGTTGACTATGGCTCTTATCTTCCAAATATCTTTCCTAAGTTTTACAAAAGGGAGGTTGTACTCGCTACTGCCTACCTCACTGAAAAGTTATCTCTTGTATTCTCAATGATCTTAATCCTCTTAGATCAACCTTAATAAGTTGGCCTATAAGATGAGGTTTGTACTCCCACATACAATTTGGCCATAACTTTGAGTTAATGTTAGATTTCTATCACATCCCTTCACGTCGAAGATATAGATGGTTCAATAATGACCCAATAAAAAGTGGTACAATAAGTCCAACAAACATCACCAGGATAGGCTTGATACCAAGATAGAATGTGGACATAAGTTTAGTTCAACCTTACAAAATCGGCTTGTAAGATGAGATTTGCACCCCACTTGTATTCTACAATTTCACTATATCTCTAGTTGATGTAGAACTTCCAAGATCTTTCTTTCCATTTTTTTTGTTTGACCTTCAAAGTTGTATTTTTGGTTATGTTGCATTTGTCCATGTTCATAGTCAATTTTATGAGAAATTAGATCCTAGAGTTGTTAAACGCATATTCATTGGTTGAGCTTATGATAAAAAGGGATATCATTGTTATCTGAAAATTTATACCACTATGGATGTCACCTCTCATGAAACAACACCTTTTTATGTGCATCATCAACTTCAAGGGGAGTTATTTATAAAAGTTGAGTTGTATGAGTCTCTTGAATCGTTCTTTGTTCCCTTGGTGCCAAAATCTTCATTGACCCATACTAATGCTAACCCCGATTCATCTAGCAATGAAATTTATTAGCTATTCCAAAGGAGGGCATTTCTATTTGAGTCTAAATTAGCACTAGATAATAGTCGTCCAAAGTGTCTAGTCTCTTTTGTAATATAATATCACAAAGAGAACCTAACCTGGTCCAAGAACAATTCCAAATCTAAGCTGGATGGTAAGCATTCATACTTCTTAACCTTTGGACTGTTTCGTACATTATAAATGTGAGTCTAACCTTGCTGACTTGCCTATTCTTAACAAAAGAAAAAAATCTTGCATCACAAGAGTTTTCTCTCTATCACTGATGCTATCAGAATCCCCACATTAGTTCAAGAGACATTAAAAGATAAAAATTGAGTTCAAACCATGAACAAAGATATAAGAGATGAGAGTGCCTCTAGAAAAAAAAATCAAACTTGGAGATTGTTAACAAGCCACAAGATAAAAGGGTTGTAGGATGCATATGAATTTACACTATGAAATATTGGTATGGTGGCACGTTAGATTGTTAGAAAGTAGTTGCAAAAGGATATATTCAAACCTAAAGTGTTTGACTATGGGGAGACATTCGCTTCAATGGCAAAGATAAATAAAGTTAGGATCATCTTCTCATTGGCTGCACATTTTGGTTGGGGAACTGCAACAATTTGATGTAAAAATTCTTTTTTGCATGGGAACCCTACATGGATTTGGATTTATTAAAAGGAAAAATAACGTGTATAGACTAAATAAATCCTTGTTTGGACTCAAGCAATCACCCTGTCTAGTTTGGGAGACTTACTTAGACTATGTTTTCGTTTGGATACCGACAAAGTCAAGGTGACCATATCTTGTTTATCAAACATTCTTCAAAAGGGGAACTTACTCTTCTCTTGGTATTTGTCGAAAATATAATTGTTGCTAGAGATGATGAGTGTGAGAAATTGATCATGAATGAAAAGTTTGTTGCCCAGTTTGTGATGAAAAATCTAGGAAAATTGAAGTACTTCCCTTGGGATTGAAGTTGCCTACTCAAGAAAGGGCATCTTCCCAAAAAAAAAAAATTGTTTAAGACCTTTTTAGAGAAAAAGCTAAGGTTGATTGCAAGCCCACTAGAGCACCTATAGAACAAAACCATTAAATTAGGAGTGATGAATATAGTTATATTTTTTAATCAAAAGGAAAGAATGTTATTGCATCACTTTACAAATTGTAATCCTAACCAGATTAGGACTACAAGTATCCATCATAAGCACCATTCTTGATACAATTAAAAGAAAGAAAAAAATACAAAAATGGAGAGACCAAACCAAAAACCAAAAAGAATCTAAACTATATGCAATACAAGGAAGCACTCCATCCCCCCAAATAAAACTTAAAGTTACAAGACCATATATGCAGCTAAATTATCAGCAATCCTGTTTCTGTCCCTAAAAATACATGAAAATCTAAACTGTATATCCTTAATAGACTCCAAATATTATTCTATTTCTTCCTTAACATCGAAGGGACTACAAAACTATTAGAAAAAACTTTCACATTAAGCAAAAAATTTGTGTCCACCCAAAGAGGAGTTCAGCTTCAAAAGCTGAATCTGCTTCTATAAATTTTGCGAACCAGTTCATATTCTAAATAGCGATGAATATAGTTCTACAGTGAATAAGAGCCAATATCAACAACTTGTTGAGAAACTCATTTAGTTAGCCCACATTAGACCAAACATGTTTATGTGGTCAATTAATTTATGCATGATCCAAGAGAACAACACTTACAGGCTATAAATAGAATCCTTCAATATTTGAAAACAAGTCCAACAAAGGGGTATTGTTTAAAAGGGGTAGAAAATTAACATGGAGATGTATACTAATGTTGATTATGCTGCGTTTGTTAGTAGTAGGAGGTCAACCTCTGGATATTGCATGTTCATAGGTGGAAACTTGGTAATTTGGAGAAGAAACAAAATATAGTTGCAAGGTCCAGTACAGAGGTTGAATTTTGAGCTATGGCACTAGAGGTGTGTGGCAATAAATAAGCTATTAGTGCTCAGCACTTCATCTGGATAGTGGCCTTATAATTTTTTCCTTCATCCCATTAAGATTTCAGCTGGCAAATTTGTCAACAATGGGACTTCCCACATAACGGTTTCATGATCTTACATGCAAGTTGGGAATGACTGATATCCATTCACAAGTTTGAGGGGGAATGTTGAGTTAAAAAAAAGATATTATTAATTATGATAGGTGGTAGAATTCTTATTAATTATGATAGGTGGTAAAACTCTTACTTATGATAGGTAGTACACAATGTATTTCCTTGTTAATTTCGATATGTGGTACATTATGGTAGGAGTTCCAAAAGATATTATTAACTATGATAGGTGGTAGAACTCTTATTAATTATGGTAGGTGGTAAAACACTTATTAGTTATGGTAGAGTCTCTGAATTTTTCCCCTAATCCTTTTTCAAGTGGTTAGATTTCAGCTTAAAACCATAGGTATTTAAACTGCACTCCATTAAATGAGGCAGGAAATATAGGACTTTCCAACATAATACACGGATACAAGGGCACTCCTATATTTCCCTTCGTCAATGTTGAAAAATGAAAAGACAGTGTTCATAAGGAAGAAACTAAGAGATCAAAAACCTATAAGGACTTGACAGTGAATCTGGACGAAAAACAACTTCAAAGCGTGATCTCTTGGCACCACTTCTTACGGCTACCCTTATTAGCATTGGTTCATCTCCAGCATCTTTTTTCAAGCTAATGCGCATTACACCTTCATAGCTTACACTAAATGGGGTACTCCATTTGTAGCCATCAATACACAACTGAATCAATATAGGATCCTTTATGAGATATAGAAACAATCTAAATATTTAAGTTAGACAAATATTTTGAGAATGAATAAATCATACCCTCAAAAGTTCAACTTTGGCTGATATCTTCCAACCAAAAGGCTTTGGAGGATCAGTGGGATGGATCCATACAGCTGAGAGAGTATCGCATTGCTGCAGGCAGATACTGCATCCAAACCTATTAATGAACATTGTGTGTGGCTGGAAATGAACAACCTGACATTAAATAGCTTAACTGTTAATTATATGAGGTCGGTCCTGAACCACATGGCATGCAATAGCCAATGACAATAGGTATTACCAGAAGAATAAAGGAGTATAAGCAAATTATTTGGTTTATAAACATGTAAAGGCAAGTAATTGTATATATCGACTATAGACAAAACCTTTGTTCTGTCTGAAGTCATGTTCAACAATGCTGAAAGCTTGTAGTAAGATCCATCAGAATTGAAAGCTTTGACATCAATACGTTCCTGCGAGAGTTTAAATGAACATTAAATACCATGGTACAAGCCTGAGGATATACTTATGCCAATAAAAAAGATAGAGCAGTTGATTAGCCCATTTGTCAAAGGCACCTTTTTTTCCAGTTCAAGTAGAGAAATCCCAGAGCCGTAAACTTCAGAAGACTGCATAGAAACAGAAATGCCCAGCCTAGGTGACAAATATGTATCTTTAGAAGACTGAAACATTGTACCTCCACTACGTCCAGTATAATCTTGTGGGGAAAGCATGCTTGGAAATGGACTGTTGTCTTCAATTACTTCAAGCACTTGCAGGCTTCTTCTTGAATTAGAATGTCTTCTATCCAATGAGCTTATGGGATTTTTCAAGGTAGTCTTGGCAGACTTAACCCTAGAGAGTAAAACAGAATCCATCTCTGTATTTTCCTGAGGTTCTACTTCCACCACACGGTATACCAAAGATAGAGATGTATCGTTGACAATCCAATAAGGGACAAAAAGTCTTAATGTTTTTGGGGCAGCAGTGGTCCCACCCATATCATGTTCAATGCTCACACGTAATTTCCTGTAAAATGATATTGAAGATAATCAATGATAAAATAAAGATTATTATAACTAAATAAAATGAAATTGTCAGTGTTATTGAACAAATAATCTGTTAAAAATAATAACTATTAGTTTTTGACCATTACATAACTATCTGAAAAAAATTGAAAGGAGAAACAATGGACAATTGGACTTAAAATTTGCACATGGGAAAATATGCCTCTCCCACATTCATCTTTCTACCTGAAGCAAGCAAATAATATAAACTAGAACATTAATTTCAAGAAGACATTACATGTGAAAACTCCTTCATTGAGTAAACCGGTTCTCATAATAAAATTAAAGGCATAAGAAAAAATGAGATCCAATTATAGTGTATAAGAAACAAACTTCACCTCACAAACTAGTTTTGTAAGTTACACCACTTTTTCAAAGCCTATCCTAGTGATGTATGTTAGACCAATCGCGCAACCTACTATCGAGTTGTTATCAGTCCACTTGCAAATATTTTAACCCCTACACTTGAAATGCCCTATCCTCGACAAGATGGGGTGTGAAGATTTCACATTGGATGAATATATAACCAAATTATAATATATATAAGTGAGGTGCAAACCTCATGTTATAAACCGATTTTGTATGATTTTGCTAAACTCACATTTGAAGGATGTCTTCCTGCGATCTTGACAAGAAGTATACATGGAACAAACACTTGTTTAATTGCTCAAGGGAAATAGTCTAACATGATTTGTTAGCTTCACAAGTCCCTAAATGGTCTTGAACAATCCTCTTGAATATGGTTAGGTTGCTTTCTAACTAATAACTACTGTACCACAATTTGGTTTGATTTGTAGTGAAGTCAACCACTCTATCTTCTACCACCACCATTCACCTAAGAAGCATTTATCTCGTTGTCTCCATGGAAGATATTGTCATTGGAGGCAACAATAAATGAATTTATCAACCTGAACTAGTACCTTGGAAAACTTTTGTATTTCATAAGTATAGAAGTTGCACAATCCAAGGATGGATTGGTTATCAACCAAAAGGAGTACGTTCTTGACATTCTAGAAGAAATTGGCGTTTTAAATGCTAGATCATTGGACATTCCCAAGGATCGCAATGTCAAACTACTCTACTCAATTTGGGGAGCCCTTATTTAATCCTTTTTGAGTTCTCTTTGCCAAGATCATTGGAATGTAGTGATTTAGACATTAAAAATATTAAGAGTGCTTCGGACAAGGGTCTTGTTTATTAAGACATGGGACATGTAGTTGGATACTTAGATGTTGATTGGACTAGCTCACCTAGTTGTAGGTGATCCAATTTTTGGCATTTTGTGTTGATTGGAAGAAATTAGTATCCATGAAAATAAAAAGCAAAATGATTTAGAAATATCAAGTACTAAAGCAAAATACAGTGCCATGTCTTTAGTAACTTGTGAGCTCATATGACTAAAACAACTCCTTAAAGAGCTCAAGATTGAAGGGGCTAGACCAATGACATTGGTTTATGATAATCAAACAAATTTTCATATTGCTTCATATCCTATCTAATATAAGAAGATCAAACGAGATTAACTACCATTTTCTAGTGAGGAGATATTGCCACAGGCATCCTCAATTCTAGTGACCAGTTGAAAAAAATGTCTTCATCAAATTTGTGAAAGGACCAAGAATTGGGTACATATGTAACAAACTTGATTCATATATACTGTAGCCGACGTTGGAGTGCTAAGAATCAAAATAATATATTTTGTTTGTTCTTATAGTCATGAAATCTTTATTATAGCTGAAACAAAATACTGTTTATTTAAGTGAAATAAATGTAATAACTCCATATACACAATGTTATGATGGGGGCAAACAAATATTCATGTTTCTGTTCTCATTGCAAAAGAATATAGCAGATTTTACAAGTTATAGTCATAGTGCGTTGATGATATGATAAAAATATATATCATGGATGTATTTCAAGGAAAATACTCATCAAAATCTCAAACAGTCAAAATACTTCACCTCCATCACAAATTCAAGTCACTTAAATTTTTTTTATTCAATATATTGAAAAAAAAAAAGCATATTGCTTACCTTCTACTTCGCCGGTGAATCATCCAGAAAGATGAGACATGATTTGAGAAAGAAGGATCAAGAACAAGAATTGGGTCCTGAGCAGATGAATCACGTAAAGAAGTTCAACTCAGATGAACTAAATAGCAAAACACAAACAGTTTAAGACAATTTCCAATTAAAATAAAAGCTATCACCTTTTCCATGACCCAGCCATCCTGCACATTCAAAGTGATATACAAAGGTTTTTGAATATCTGCTGAATAGATATGTACGCTCTGGCGAGAAGACACGACACCATGGTGGCGTTCAATAAAATTTCCTTCCTTTATTTTTTCTGAGATAGAAAATTGGGCAGGACAAGGTAGCCGGTTCTCTATTTTGAAAGGAGAGGTGATAGATATTCTCCAATCATATACAGGTACATTTAATTCAGTATTGAGAACTGAGGCATCTGTACACACACTAAACCACAATTGTTTACTGCCACTATTAGGATTACAGCAAAGAAGTATATCTTTTTTCTCAAGCTCATTAAGCTTCAGCGAGCAATTGGGTGTCACAGCAGTTAGTCTCGAACCTGGATCTAATAGTTGATCTTTGCTATATATATAACTTGAACCAACAGCAATAGCACAACTCCATGAGTATGAGGGCTGAGAATTATCAAATTTAGGACGAAGTTGCAAACATTGGTCAGAGTCCTTGGATGTACTTCTCCATGATAAAACAGCAGAAGCTCCAGGGTGCACAGTACCTGCTCCATTCTGCCAGCAGTCTGTACGTTGCTCAGAAAAAGATTGTCTGGTACGAACCCAACGTCTTCTACGCACAACATCAGAGGCTGATTTGGTTGAAAACTGTGAAGAAGTGGCAGGCCATCTTAAGCTTTTAATGTCAGGTCCATATGCCCAGCCTTCCTTGTCAACATATTGAGACTTATCTATGGACCAACCTGAGGACCATTTCCACCCTGGAGGAAGTGGAGGTTCAAAGAAATCCTTCAAAAAGATACATGTGAGTGAGGAACATTATCGTAATGATGTGTATCTTATTTGAGAGTTAAAAAGTGCTAACAGAAAAATATACACATATATATACAGACCTTAGAGGAGTTTGAGCAGTCCCTTGTACTCCAATGTCCAGGATTATCTTTGTGCACACCTGGCCAATTGCTACCCCAACCAGATGACGGTTGGTAATACTGATTTTGAAAGACTTCTTCAGTTACAGTATTAGAACTGTTTATTGAGGGATCATAACCATGGGATGCATGGCATGAAATAATATTCAAAATAACATCTGAATCATTCACTACTGTAACAAGACCCCTGAAAATTACATTCTTCTTTCCATTTTTCATCACAACTTCCATACCAATATATTCATTCTGTAATGATACTGGAGCAACTGAAAGTGGAAGCAACGATCTAATGCTCACCCACTCACTCTCTGGGTCAAGCCCCACCCAGAAACCTATGTCTCTATCACCAGCATTCTCACTTTCTATATCATTTTGAAGGTTAACAATTTTGTTTCTTTCGAAATATGAGGTAGAAGCAAGGAGGCATCCAGCATGCATAGCTTCAACATTTTGCTGAACCTGAATAAGTGAAACAGGAAAATAAATATTCTAGACACTTAATGATTTCATTTTTTTAATAAAAATAAAAATACATTTAATAATTACATTAAACTGACAATTCCTTATAAAATGATTAAATTATGGCAACTGACCATTCTACTAAGTGGATATGCTCTGATACTCTGCGCGTCATTTGGTGCTTGAAACATTCTCACGGAAGCAACCTTCTTTAGAGTATTTGCACCATATCCAACAGAAAAAGATAGTGCACCCACAACCTCCCCTGCAAGTTGACTACACCATAAGTTCTGAGGAAAAGACGACCGAGATGGAAGAAAATATTAAACACCAAATAATAAATGATGACTAATGGTTGGAAGAAAACATACTACATTGGAAAGTTATTTAATTGATTAAATTATTCCAGTGGATTCAATCAATAGCATTAGGCTTTGTATAAACAAATTCAACAGGAAACTCAAGAAATATATGAAGTCTCACAGAACAAGTCATCAAAGAATTACCTTTACCAGCTTTTGCTGCGAGATTTGTAACCTCTATTTCCAACTTAGCAGGGGCCTGTAATGAAGTTCTCAATGTAACAGTAAATACAGTGAACACCTACGTAATTCCCACACACACACACAGACACACATATTTATATATATATATGTATATGTGGCAGTTGGGAAGGAGAAACTATAGCCTGAACAAGAATTTCAAAAAACCGCAAGGGATGACCGTACCACCGTACAGGTTGTGTTAATAAGCTGGTCCAAAATATAGAATTACATATACACAAAATCTTGGAAGCAAGAATTAATAAAAAATAAGCACATTGGAATAAGAAATAAAGCAAAAGTATACAACTAATCAATTAACAAATCAATACCTTCCGAGGAACTTCAAATATGAACAGTTCGTTCCATTTTACACTGCCTTCAACCTGATCTTTAATTATTGACAGAACAGGCTTCGCACACTTAGTTCTTGCACTCTGGGGAAAAAGCTTTTGCTGTTCTGATGCTTGGCTGTCAACAAGAAGCCGCAAAGCACAGAAGAAGTTATGGCTGTTGCCATCATCAATGATAGGTAAGCCCTACAAAATATGAAATGAATCGGATTCAATGTTCTGGGTAGGGAGAAAAATCAGGAAGGAGATTGGAGTTATGTATAAACCCATTTTCAAGTTATTATAACCTTGACTTCAAGTATCTGCACAGCAACATAATAACGTGCTTCCCTAGATTCATTTGCAACATTTAACCTATTTGAAAACCTTGGAGGTGGAACCCAGACAGAAGCACAATTGCCGTGTTGTAGCTTGTCAACTATATCTAAATCATGCTCAACTTTTTTGACAAAAATATCACACCCAAGTTTATTTTCAACTACCACAGTCTGCAAGTCATCCTCATCAAGTGCAGAAAAAGTAGTATTTTCTCCTTTGCCTAGTTGACCACCAACCTCCTGCAAACCCAAACAGTAAGGCTCTTAAAAGTTGCATGTTTTAAAGGATAAAGGATTCTGAATTTTACCTCATTTAGCTTTGATGCTTTCCCTTCAAGCTCTAAGTGTTGTCTCCAAGAAAGAATGCTTCCTACAAAGGATTCAAGATTTGCTGCACTGACATTTATATTCAAGATACTGGTAGCAGAAATTCGAACTCTCTTTCCAAATCCTGATGGTGATTGTGCATTGGTGTCAAAAGTTTCAAACCTAAAACAAGTTAGAAAGTAAACATCTAATTAATGGCAAATTCTCGACAGGACTGACCAATGACTAAAATCACATGTACTATATGTACTTAAAATCATGTACCAAAAATATAAATAACAAATCAATTACTTAAATATTCCATCAAATGGTTCCACAACGGGCTCCCATGCCTCTAAATGTGCATTGAAGGTTGATGCAACAATTGAAGCAATAAGTACCGCATTCATCCCATGTAGTCCTCCATGAGTTGCAAGCTTAATATTAGTAATTGTAGTGTCAAATAAGGGTCTCATCTGCAAGGGTAGTTGAATAAAACATTGAAATTACACAATGATTCCTATATTAAAAGTTATTGTTGGTGAAAAATAGAGGTCTAGAAAATAAACCATTCCACATAAGCTGTCCAAAACCGTCAAGGAAAAGTATCGCAGCTTTAACTCAGCATTTATGTTTTCTCGGGTCTTGGGTTTCACAGAATCACCGATTATGTATGCTAAGCGGCTTGATGGCTTTTTAAGGTCAGATCGAGCTAGAAATGTGCAAGCCTGCAAACACATAGGATGATCAGTATTTTTTAGTTTTTTGGTTTCATTTGGGAGGGTCAATAGTTCAATATGATCATAAAATGTTTTCCTGCTAAAATGTTTTCTGCTTTTGCTCTGAAAATTAAAATCCATCTTGTATCCAATTATAACATATTTGTATAAGTATAACTACAGGGAAAAAAACCAAGTTAGACATGGACTAGGGATAAAGCTAAATTAGTATATATAAGTGAGGGACAACCCTTATCTCACAAGTCGATTTTATGGAATTAAATTAGACCCAAATTCTAAGATGGTATTAAAGACTATTCTAATTCTATTATTGGGTCACCAATATCCACATACCAAACTCAATAGTGTGCTAGTCTGGGTTGATTAGGAAAAAAACACAAGTTCCCCATTGAATAGAAATAAGACTAAAGTAATGTATTAAGTTGTCGTCAGTTTTCATCTCATAAGTTGGTTATGCAAAATTGAGATAGACCCAAACCCAAATTCTAAGAATAACAAAGAAATTGGTTAATACCACACATACATAGAGCCCCTTAAAACAAAAATTGTTAGAGTGAGCCAATTGAATCAGATGTCATGTTTAACCTGATTTTCTACTTTCCATATGCTCCAACATTGAGGAGACTTTGAATTTGAAGATCTCGACAGAGGGACCTCATGAATGTTTGCTTGGCTAACTAGATCCATCCTTGGACAGCAAAGCAAGTCCACACGTGGAGCTTCATCGGTTTTGGAGACAACACATCCTAAAGAAACATAACCAGGAGGAGCTATAGGATACCAAAAGAAAACTTCATCAATCCCTTTCCCTAGAATGTGGGAAACTTTGGTAAATTGAACAGGTTTTGAAGAGATATCAGGATTGTCATTCTTGAATATTATTCCTAGTGCAGGAGGTTCAAGGCTGAAGACAGGAGTAGAAAACAAAATATTAGTCCCAACAAAAATATTGAAGGTTAACTAAAGCATAGATCATAGAAAGTGTGAATAAAGGCATAAAGGGATACAGGTCTAACCCTTCGGTGATGCAATCACCCAAGACAGCATAACCATGCCGTGCAATTGGTCGCCAAATGGAGACTGGACGACGGAGGTCACTGCCTTTGTCCCACCATATCCTTTCAAAGTTTGGTGTAGACATATAGCAGTTAGTTGCTTTTGAAATTGACTTGAGAATATCCCATCCAGATGTATTCATACTTTTGCTTGACTGTGTATTTTTATTTTCATGATCAGAAGGATAATCCGATACAGGACCTATCAGGGGAGCTCGATTTGAATTCCAGACAAGCAGATGGTTTAAGTCGTAACATCTGTCTCTGAGAGGGCAACCAGTGTAAGAATGCGCAAAAAATGAGCCGAGAGCATTATCAAGGCGCCATATGCTAAAGCCAGAAGTAAAGTGACTATTTAATGGTATATTTAGTACACAGTCTGTATACTTTGCTGATGTTACCAGATCAGAACGTAAGCAATGAACAATGTGATTAGGGGGTGGTTCGTTCCCAACATGCGCAACACAGCCTAGAGCCGTGTACCCAGGCGGTGCAACAGGTATCCAAAGAGAACAATCATTACCATCAATAGAATGGTCTTCACTTCCACCATGCCCTTGAATATTGCGGAATGACCCAATAAGATGGAAATCAACTGGCTTCCTCACACGGCCATATGTGTTACTAACAGCCACTACTGCCTGTGAAGGAGGAATTGGCCTGAAAAGACATGGAAATGTATAATTTAGACAGTAATGAATCTATGTAACTTAGGACCAGTCCTACTAATCATCACACAACTTTTAAGTTCAGAATCTTTCCTCTCTTTCTCCCTCTCTCATTCTAAGTTTTCCTTCTTCATTAAGTTAGAAAATTTAGTTGAAAGATTTATTCACTTAACATCACACAACTCCAATATATTTGGTACATTTTAATACTAATATTGACAGGTTAGACAAGCATGGGACTGGATTTTACCGCTGCAGTCATTTCACTCTCTTACCAAAGAGAACTTTCTGAACTATGTAGAAAATTTCTTACATATGTAAAAAGGAACGAGCATGCAATACTATCAACGAAAGGACCATATCTTATATGATATGTCAGGGCACTTTCCTGGTGTGATTTCAATTTTTGACCAAAGTGAAAACTCCTAAAGAAGATTTCCTTGGTAATGATCAAGAAAGTGAATTCCATCATATTAGAATGCAAATGCGAGCTATAAATGGAGAAAGAAATAAAGAATATACCTTGATGTCACACAATCTCCTAATATAACATAATTTGCAGGAGCACGAGGCCTCCAAAAAGTTATATGGCCAGTCTCTGCAAAAGAAAGTTTATTATAAGTACTTGGTATTTCAGTTAAATGGTACCCAAAAGTAATGAGTCAAATTGATAAACTGATTACACAAAAATAAAAGAAAAATTGTAACCAGGCAATTCCTATTTAGGATAAACCTTTCTCAGACACCCATATTCGGTCATAGTTGGTACATTGAACCAGAGGAATTGCATTTCCAAAACTTAATGCAGCAGACGCCTGACTTTGCAGATTTAGTACAAGAGAAAGAGCACTGAGTGAAAGATGTATACAGATGTCCGTTGATAACAAAGATATATTTGTTTTGTCTTTCACGGAAGTATATCCCCCTGATATATCCACTGGATCGAGAATAGTAAGACCAGAACCAGCCTCAACAGAGAAATCCTTCACCAGAGCTCTAATCCAAGTGTCTTTTTCCTTGGAGGCATACCTACTCAAATATAGTGCAGAAACTAACAGGTCAAATTTAGTTTGAGAAATTCATTCTATTTTTTATAGAAAGAATAAATGAAAAGGGGAAAATTGAACACAAATTTTGTTATGAGGAAATCAAGATATATTATTTCGGAATTCTATTCCAAAAATAATTCTAACTGAGGAACAATTAACAAAGTTTCATAACGTCCAGAGAGTGCTTATTAGTTAATGTTCAAACCCTGAACATAGGGCCTGTTTAGACAAACTAGGCACTTTAAGGAGAGAAAAATAAGAAAAAAATGAAATTAACTTCATAATGAGCTAAAATTAGCTTATGCACAAGTTAAATACAAAATTACAGAAGCTATATGAGAAAGCTTCTACATATTAATATATACCATATAGAGAAGCGAATTTCAATTTTTCTTTTTAATTTTCTCTCCTAAAATTGCTTATGGAGAAGTTAGTCTAAACAGGCTCATAGTCACTTCGATCCTAAACTGAAAATATTTCTAGCAAGAATTCTAAAACAACAATTCTACCAAGAAAATAAATTGCTGTATAGTATGAAACTCACATGAAACTCAGATCCAACTTTGCACGAACAAGCTTCTCGCCATAAGATGAATCATCAAGAAATGACTTAGTGCCATCATAGAAGGTTAATTCAGAAGAAACAACCTATCAACAAAGTACAATAGCCGTCAGACAACAAAGAAGACAAATGAAAATTCACCTCTTTGGGATTAAAGCTAGACACATTTCTAAACAGCATTATACATTGAAGAATTTACACTATCTACATATATCAATAAACCATTCTAGGAGCTAATATTGTGGGCTTAGATTTTAATGAAACTATTGGTCTAATTAGGAAGAAAAAAACTAAATTGACTTCTTCATATGTTAAAATTATCATATACACAAACTAATTTGTAGAATCTCTCTCGTATAACTTTTCAAATACTAACTTTTAACATGTACATAAGCTAATTTTAAATTATATAGAAGTCATTTCATTTTTCTTTTCATCTTTTTCTCTAGAAGCCTGTATGGAAAATCTCATATAAACAAACCCTATGTTTGAATAATTATTGATTCAGTTCAAGTGCAGATTGGTAGGTTAGACATGATAAACCAAAAAGCAAAACCAGGCTTTGCAATTTAGATACTGGTAGGAATTTCATATACGTTGTAATTTATCCTGTTTCTGTAAATCTTAAAAACGACAGAAGGAATAGGGATTAATAATTTTGTTATTTGCTTTCCAGTTTTAATGTAATTAGTCAAGCAATCTAGAGAACCAAGCAAAAGTACAGACACAAAAAATGCAGTTGCCAAGGCTGTTTAGAATGTATTACAATTTACCATATGATCTTAGGCTATATCAAACAATTTTCTTGGTATGAATAGAGGTATATCATTTACCAATGATACAACACAAAGAAGCTACGAGTGTCACATTCTTTTATAGCGATGATACAACAACAACAACCGAGCATTTTCTCACTAGGTAAGGTATGCCCTCACTAGGTAAGGTATGCCAAAGACATGGGACTAAAAAATGATCTTGAAATTTCATCAGCTCTCTCAACCAAAGGCAAAAAATCACTGTATAAATGCAGCCTGCAAAGATCTCGCCTATATATTCCTCCAAAAACTACTGAAGTGGCTTGTGAGAAAAATTACTCGACATTCACTGCACAGATCTAACTTTCCCAATATGATGAAGACAAGAGCATGAGCAAAGGTAAAGATCCACTTGAAGGACTTGGAGGACCTATGACAAGGGCTAGAGCAAAGGAAGCAAAGAAAACTCTTAAACAAGTGTTGTCCATATTATTTGAATACAAGCTCACATTTCAAGGAGAAAAGACCAAAGTTATGAATTGCATCATGACCCAAATGAAAGAGGACTAATGCGTCACTTTGTTTCAGTTTTTAAGTTTGTTTAAATAATGACCCAATCCTTTGTAAAATTGGCTGATCAAATTTGGGTTATTCAATTAATAGGCTTTAGTTTTGTTTTGTTTCAAGTTGTAATAAAGACCCAATTGAAACTTAGGTATCAGTCTTTGGGAGACCAAGAGGGTACATAGCTGATTAACTTTTGGTTGCCACAATTTCAGTTACAATAAGTCATTAAATAGTTTTCAATTTCTAGGTTAATGGATCATTATTAACATTTATTTGTCTCCATTAAGTAGTTTTCAATTCCTAGATTAATGGATTATTATTAGGATTTATTTTCTTTTATTGAGTCTTTGTAACTTGGCAAAAGTTTTTTATATAAGTTGAACCATTTTTATCAGAAATAACAAGTTGAGTTTTATTCAGAAATATTAGAGTTTAGCTCTTTTATTTTGGTGAGAATGATTCTCCTAAGTTCTTGAGTGATTCAAGAATCCTTGGCTATATCAAAGTTCTTTCACATCCTTTGTGAGTTGCCTCCCTTGGGAAGAGTGATTCTTTTCTTTGACCTTTCACATGCACTTCTTGTCCTTTCTTCACCAAAACAAAAAAAATATCAATTCTGTTCAGATTTATTTTGTGGTCATAACTTTCGTTCTACTTGTCCAAATTGAGTGTTTCTTGAGCTTAAATTGAAATTCAGAAAGAGAACTTTCACCTCTTTTTGAATCACCTCAATCGGAGTTTTATAGATTGAGATATTAACATTTCAAACATACTGCCCAACCCTGAAACTTTCACCACTTTCTAATCCACCTCACTAATTTCCTAAATTTCTTTTAACCCTAAAGATCCTAAGTCAGCTCTTGTATAAATGAGGTTCATATCACAATATATACTAAACTGGCTGATCAATATAAAAATTATTAATGAAGCTCTCTTGCCTCTCAAAACATATACATGTCAAGATACTGGCACAGAAAAAGGTGATCTACAAAGGACAAAACCAAGAGAAAATATACAAAATGGCAAATTCTAAACATTTAAAATTCAATAATAGAGCCAAGCCAAGTCCCCAAAGATATGGTGCAACTAAGACAACAACACAGTCACAAGGACAAGCAATCCTATCTTAAGGCTCAAGCATTCCTGACCAGACCAGTGATATATCAAATCTATCCAGAATTATGATTCATTACTATAGAGAATTACAAAGAGTGAATAAACCTCTTATAGAATCCATATTAGAGGAGTACTGTAATAGGTTGTAGAACAGTTGTAACAAACAGCTATACAGAAATAATAAAAGAAAAGACATTACAAACGCATACATCTAAGATCCCCCTACAAGCTCAATGTGAATGAGAAACAACAGGCAACTCAGCCACCTTGAGTTTGGATCTAAGAAAAAGAAATCTTGTACATAAAAGTGGCTTGATTAGTACATCAGCCCATCAATCTAGACCAGGAATATGCTTCACACCAAGTTGCTCGGCTAGAGAACCTTTTCTTTGACAAAGAAGAGATCTAGTTTCATGTGTTTAGTTTTGGCATGTAAAACAGGATTGTGAACTACTAAGATTATCACAATAAACAACAGGAGTGAGATAAGGAATGTTAAGTTCATTAAGCAGAGTTTGAATCCATAGAAGTTCAGTAGTAGCAGAGGCAAGGCTCCTATATTCAGCCTTTGTGTTTTACTGTGCTTAAACAATTTGTTTTCTTGACCACCAAGATACAATGTTGACCTAGATAGATTGCAGCATCGTCTATCATCAGGATCAACACCCAATCAGCATCACAAAAAGCATTGATAGATAAAGGTTGAGGAGGTATAATAGGAAATACACATAAGCCACATTTGTAGAATACCTTCAAGATGTCTTATAAAGTCCGTTTAACAGCAACCAATGCAATTCTATAGGAATAGACTTAAATTGACACACTTTGTTAATAGAAAAGCATATCTCTGGTCTGGTGATTGCTACATATTAAATAGCACAAACAATAGACCTATAAAAGGATGGGTTAGTTAAAAAATCATGACCTTGTTCTGATAGTTTAGAACCAGAAATCATAGGGAAAGATATAGGCTTTGTTTCAAGCATATGTGTCTTTATGAGAAGATCTTTTATATATTTTATTCAAGGATGCCAAAATCGAGATTATGAGTGGGATCGTTGGGGTCCACAAGATTGTAAATTGTGGGATCATAGTTCCTACTTTTATATAATATAAAATATATACCAATAAAATGATGAAATAAATACCAAGCCATATTTCAATACTGTCATCCAACATATAATTTTTTCCGCTGTTTTTGAGATGACAGATGCATTAATAGATTTTAGAAAAACAGTTTCCTTTGGATTGTTTACTAAAAGTTCAAGATAGTCTTGTTGCTTTTATCAGTCCATCCATCGGTCATTATAATGCAGCCTGTTTTCTTCCATGCAGTCTTGGGAATTTCCAAAGCATGTGTTGTTGCCATAATCTCTTCTTTCAAGTAATTAACTCTAATTTCATGATATGAAGGCGACTTAAATCCACGACCATAATTTGAAACTGAATACATTCTCTTGAATCTTTTACTCCTTGATACATTAAATAGTATGACATTTTCAAAGAAAAACTTAACTACATCTCTACAAGTACTTTCTCTTTGATCCTTCTTGAATATTTGATTAATTGTGGCTTGTGAGCTACCTGCTCTCTTCTTAAAAATATTTTTACTGTTGGTAATATCTTCCTACTATTTCATTTTTTTTTTCAGTTTTGACATTATCTTCCCAACATCAAGCTTGATTATTTAAATTAATCTTTGCAATTGACCTACAAAAATCTCAAATATTTCTCTTTTCTTCAACCACACTTTTGCGAGCAGTTACATCCTTTTGAGTTCCTGCCAAGTGGTGCTTCAAGCGATAAACCCCACCAGGTATTTTTCTCGGATCTCCATCAATACATATTTCATGCTTCAAAGCCAAGTTTGTTCTGTTGCCTGGAGCATTTTTTTGCCATTTTCTTAAATCAAATATTTTCTGAGGGAGTGCCATCATTAGATGCACCATTATAAGGCCCAAGACCAGCAGAAGATATAATAATATGAAAAAAACTAAACATACTGGAAAAAATGAACCTATTGTGGAAAATGAACATAATAAATTGCTACAAAAAATTGTTTACAGAATAGAAACGTGTTTTTTACTATTTGTAAGAAGAGAATTTATTTGTAGAAAATTTATTTTGTGTAGAATATTTATATAGTGAAAGAGAGTTGAGTGATGGAAAAATGAAAGAGTTGATTGGAGGAGAATCAAACAAAATAGTACCACCTATATGAAGAAATTGCACACAAAGATGATGATAATGAGAAGAGAGCATGCATTGCATGTAGGGTTGATGACCAGAAGAAGAGAGCAAAGCACAACACATGAAGAAATTATTCAACAGTTTTAAACAGAAGGAAACGTTACATATTACATGAGGAGGGGAATACGATACATATTACATGAAGAGGAGGGAATACAAACAATTTTTTTTTTTACTGACCCGAACACAACTTGCAACCTGCGATGATGCAATCCAAAACAAAACCTAGAACTTGACTATGTGCTTTTTTGATCTTGAACGACAATTCCCCCAATCCTACATAGTGTTGATATCGCGTAGGAATTCAAACGGTTATTGGGTGCATAATAATAATCGTGGAATCGAACGATTCCACAATTTTCCTCTCAATTTTGGTTACAATGATTTTGTTTGTGTCATAATAAGATTGCCATTGGACTTTGGACGAACTTCAATGCCAATAAAATAATACAAGGCCCCTAGTTGTTGGAGGGAAAAAATATACTCGGGTTTAAGAATGAGATGTTGAACAAGGGAGGTCGAATTTCTTGTTATAATAATGTTATCAACATACAAAAGTAAACTATACAATTTTGTTGAGAATATTTAAATTCGGATGGATCACATTTACTGTCTCTAAAACCAAACTGCAGTAAGGTAGTTTTGAGTCTCTCAAACCATGCTCGAGGTGGTTGGTTGAGACCATAAATAGCTTTGTGAAGTCCACAAACAAGATAAGTATTTTTATCTTCAAAACCTAGGGGTTGAGTCATGTAAACCTCTTCATCAACAAAAGCATTAAGAAAGACATTGTTAACATCTAAGTGGAACAAACACTACTTGTAAGTAAAAGTAGTTAGAATAATGTGAATGGAGACAAATTTTACAACAAGAGAAAAAGTCCTAGCAAAATAAAAACCATATTATTGATTGAAACCTTTAGTCGCTAATCAAGCTTTATATTTATGAATTGTCTGATAAGGATTTTACTTACGAAAAACCCATTTACACCCAATACATGAAGATTAGAGGGAAGAGGAACTAAAGACCATGTTTTATTCATTTGAAGGACAAGAAATTCATCTTGCATAATAGCTAACCACTTTGTATCCTGTAAGGCTGATGTGACATTTTTTGGTTCCACGTTAGCAACTATGAGTGATGGACTAGTTATGAGTCAAATGATATCGGACTTAAAGCAAGGATGCATAGTAGGATGAGTATTAAAAGGATTGTGAGGAATAATGGGGTTTGGTTCAGAAATAGAGGTGGAGGAAATGGAAGGAGATTTGGCAAATGAGGAATTAAGTGACATATGGAGATGCATTATAAGATATAGAATACAAAGGTAGATTTGAAACAAGAGGAATAGAGGCTGAAATGCCAAAAGTAGTTAGTGGTGTGTGATTATTGGGTGAAGATGATGGAAACAAAAAAGGAAAAGGAAATATTTGCTCATTCAACAAAACATCTTTAGAAATGTAAAATTTTCCAGAGAAAGATAAACATTTGTATGCTTTGTGTGATGTCCACACATTCTTGAGAACAAAAATTAAGTTTGTGAGAGTTGTAGCGTCTAAGAAGAAGAAAACAAGCACATCAAAAAGTTTTGGGGAAGTTGTAATCAGGTGCAGTTTTGAATATAATAGCATAACGAACATGAAAGTTAAAAGGAGCACTAGACAATCTATTTATAAGATAATGTTAAGGTTCCAACATAAAACCAATTGGCAATATGTGGAGTAGCCTAACATGTATTTAAATCATACCAAATAATATGAGGTAGGCGATGTAGGACTTTCAACACACACCCTCCAACGAAGCTTGCCGGACCAGGCAAAGGGTATTTTTGACCCAATTAAAGGGCAACTTTTGGCCCATGACAATAACCGGAAAGATGTTAGGCTTTGGCTCTGATACCATGTTAAGGTTCCAACATAAAACCAATTGGCTGCAAGGGACAATATCACCCTAACTGTGTTCATGTTGGCAACCGGAGCAAAGGTCTCCAAATAATCAACTCCATAGGTTTGGGTGAACCCTTTGGCAACTAGTCTTGCCTTATATCTCTCAATTGATCCATCAGCCTTGTATTTCACTGTATAGACCCATTTACATCCAACTGGCCTCTTTCCTATTGGTAAGGTGACTAACTCCCAAGTGTTGTTTTTCTCCAATGCCTCCATTTTCTGTCAGACAATGCCTCAGATAGGGTATTAGGTAGAAGTACAGTGTTTAGGTTTACTAGGAAGGTTTTATGGGTAGGAGAGAAACTTTTAAAGGACAGGTAATTTGAGAGAGGGTAGAGTGGCTGTTTGGTGCATTTTCTTGTTCCTTTTCTAATGGCAATTGGGAGGTCAGGATCATTTTGGGTTTCAATTTCAACCTGCACAGCTGGAGAAAAAATTGTTACCTCTTTTTGTGGAGTCGAGTTGGATTCTTGAACATGGCTTGATCTTGGAATGGCCTTAGTCTTCCTTGAGTACACCAGCTTCTTACCAAATTTTCTAGTTTCAACATCTTCTTGATCAGCTTCACAATTAATTTCACTTTCTTGACCAACTTCCTTTGCTTGACCAATTCCTTGACTTGTTTCATTTGTTACAACTTCAATTTGATCTTCAATTTGATCTTGTTTAGGTTCAAATATCAAGTCTGGAAGAATGGGACAACCAGAATTACTACTTTCAATATGATTTCGTTTAGGTTCAAATGTCAAGTCTGGAAGAATGGGAAAACCAGAATCACTACTTTCCTTATCTTCCCTGAAACTCTCCCTTTGAAGATAAGGTTGATGGAAATAACCCTCTTGTTCATTGAAGGTAACATCCCTAGACACAAAGAATTTTTTGGATGGGGGGTGGTAGCATTTATACCCTTTTTGAGTGGGTGAGTAACCAACAAAGACACACTTTAAGGCTCTAGGATCAAGTTTTCCCCTGTCTGTACTATGAATATGGATATATGAGATGCACCCAAAGACTCTTGGTTTAAGATTATTTGTAGTAGACAAGTTTGGATAGAAAGACGACAAAACTTCCATAGGGCTTTTTGATCCTAAGACTCTAGAGGGTAGTCTATTGATAAGGTATGTTGCTGTAAGGACAGCTTCCCCCCAGAAATTTTTTGGGACACTTTTTTGGAACAACAATGCCCGAGTCTGATTTAATAGATGTCCATTTTTCCTCTCTGCGACCCCATTCTGTTGTGGTGTTTTGACACAAGAGGACTCATGAATTATACCTTCTTTTTGACAAAAAGAATTAAGGACATGATTGAAGTAATCTTTGGCATTATCCGACCTAAGCCTCTTAATATTAACACCAAACCGATTTTTTATCATGGAGTGGAAGTTTAGGAAGGCGAACCGACTTCGATTTTTGTTTAAGTAGGAAAACCCAAGTGACCCTTGTACAAGTCATCTATAAAGGTGACAAACCATCGAGTACCGGACACATTTGGAATATTAGAAGGTCCCCATACATCAGTATGAACAAGATAAAAAGGGAAATTGCTAATTCTATTACTTATTGGAAAAGATATACGTTTGTGCTTAGCAAGTTCACACCTCACAATGAAGACTCTCAACATCTAACTTGGTAAACAGAGAGGGAAATATAATTTTGATCACTCCAAAAGAGGGATGTCCCAACCGACAATGATAAAGCATGATTTTTTCTCTCGTTGGTCATCAAGGATTCAGACTATGAAGGAGTGAGAGATTCTATTCTTGTCGGGCGAGACTTGGATCTTCGAGATAATAAAGGTCATTCCATTCTCTAGCATGTCCAATCATCCTCCCCGAATCCTTATCCCGAAATACACAATGATCATTGGAAAAAACAACTTTACATGACAAATCCTTTATAAGTTTTTGTATAGATACTAGGTTCGTGGACAACTTTGGGACATGGAGAACGTCTTTTAAGGTTATTAAAGGATTGATTTGGATATTTCCTTGACCAGCTACGGTTATAAGGGTTCCATCTCGCTGTGGCAATTTTCTTGTTCTCGGGACATGGGGAATATGTGGAGAAGTGTTTGGCCAATGGTGTCATGTGATCTGTGGCTCCAGAGTCCAATATCCAATAATGGTTAAAAGGCGTATCTGAGACATTTAATCCAAAAGAAGGTGGAAACTTACCTGAGTATGCCAAAGAACACATACCTGTAGGTTTTTCCAGCTTACTAAGAATGGTTTTCACCCTTTCTATCTCCTCTTCCCTTGACATTATAGCAAAAGGTGCGATGCAACAACAATGCAGGCTGTCGTCTTAGGATTATGAAAAATGCAGCAACAATGCAGGCTGTCGTCTTAGGATTAAGAAAAATGCAGTAGCAATGTAGGCTGCCGTCTTAGGGTTAAGAAAAATGCAGCAGCAATGCAGGCTGCCATCTTAGGGTTACAAAATATGCAACAACAATGCAGGCTGCCGTCTTAGGGTTTATCGAGCGCAGACAGAGCTTCCTAGATCGGAAGCTCTGATACCATGTTAAGGTTCCAACATAAAACCAATTGGCAATATGTGGAGTAGCCTAACATGTATTTAAATCATACCAAATGATATGAGGTAGGCGATGTGGGACTTTCAACAGATAAACAACAATAGTAAAGGCATGGCCCCAATAGGATAATGGAAAAGACGCATAACTAAGTAAAGCAAGACCCATGTCAACAATATGGCAATGCTTGCATTCAACAACACCATTTTGATGATGGGTAAGAGGGCAAATGATTCTATGAATAATACCTAAAGATTTGAGATATGCAGTAAAAGTGTGAAATTCTCCTCCCCAATCAATTTGAACCGCTTTGATAGATTTGTTAAATTATAATTCAATCATAGATTTAAATTGCTGAAAAACAGGATGAGCTTCAGATTTTTGTTTTAATAGATAGACCCAAGTGAAGCGGGAGTAAGCATCTACAAAAGAAATGTAACAGGAGAAGCCATGAGAAGAAGAATCAGGGGAAAGTCCCCACAAGTCACTATATACTAACTGAAAAGGAGATTTATAGATAGTTGAAGAAGCTTGAGAAGAAAGTTTATGAGCTTTGCCCATACAACATGCAGAACAAAAGGGCAGAAAACTTTTATTAGAAAAGGAAATATTACAATTTTGTAGAGCAATACGTAGAACATTGATACCAGGATGTCCTAACCTAAGATGCCAAGTATATGCTCTGCTAGTAGTACAATTATTAGAAACAGTAGAATTAATACAAGAATTGCAAGAAGAATCAGAAAAATATTGTGGCATAAACTGAAGGTATGAAAACTGATACAACCCATCAGGTCCAATACGACCATGAAGCTTCTCTGTAATTTGATGGGAGAATGTGACAAGTGTAGGCACAGATAAAGAAGGACAAGAATCTGTTGAAGGAGGAGGGGTTGGAGGAGGAGGACAAGAAGAATTAGGATCTATGAAAGCCATAGAATAAAAAAGATTTGCCAGAAGCCAAGAAAGTGGATCAACTAGCTTTGGATACCATATTAAAACTGTCAAGAATTATGATTCATTACTAAAGAGGATTAAAAGAGTGAGTAAACCTCTTACAGAACCCATATACTTGTATGAGTAGAGGAGTATTTGCAATACTGCAATAGGTAGTAGAACAGTTGTAACAAATAGCTGTACATAAATAATAAAAGAAAAAACTTTACAAAAGCATATCTCAAATCAGATAAGATAACACAAAGAAAAAGTAAACCTGAATTTCCTAAATTTTAAATAATAATTCTCTTACCAATTACACATCTTAGTCCAAAATAATTATAATTAATTACACCAAAAATTAATCACAATATAAGCACAAATGCTTGTTCTTGTCCTCCATGTACTTGCATTTTTTCTTGTCATTTCAAAAACTACTTTAGTCAAAAGAAAAAAAACATATATGATAGATTTCAGAAAAGAATAAAAAATAAAAAGAGAAAAAAGCTACTGAAGTACACTCATTCTAGTCTCTGGAACAACTTATGACCTGATATTTCAGTGAAATGGTTTTGGTGAGCAGATGCTGTTATAATTTAATGTACAAGTTCTGATCAATGAACTACCAAGAGGCAAGAATAAAACAGGCAGTACAAATAAGCTTGATGGAAACATGAAAGGTTACCTGGGTTTCAAAGGAAAAGCTTTGAGTTCCATTTGAATCACATTGAGAATATGTAGATGTGCTTGATATCTGATTTACACTGTCAAGGCTTTTCTCATCATTAGATTGCAAATTGCCTGGATCTGTCATGTCAACACCATCTTCACTAGAGACTGAGTAGCTGCTATCATTACTAAGGTATGTATACTTCCGTAGAAGAGAACCATTCTGGTGAATATATAACAAAACTGTGAGCTTCTAATACGGAAGTACTATAGGAAAGAGCAGTACAATAAACTCTACATTGAAGTGGCTAATGCACAGAGTAAGAACAAATAAATTTTGTGTGCTTGTATTCTTCTAAAGGTGTACAAATTATAATTAGAATTAGTAACATTAAGGATGCTTCGGATTCTAAAAGGTGTTATAGAACTATCAAATATACAAAGGAAATTAGTAAACAAGTCTGAGAGAAAGCATATTACCTCAATTTTTACATTAACAAATCGCAATTTTTTGCCATGTCCAATGACTATAATTGGTCTAAATCTTGTGCTTCGAACTTCCTTTGCATCTGTTTCAACAGATAAACAAATAACCTTTCCACAACCATCATATGTATATTCATCAATGCCTACCCAATCAGCAACTAACTGTTTAGATGGGGAGAGGTGAACCACATCTTCTTTCTGCTTGTAAATTGATTCCATCATCACTATGCTACTGTTTTTGCTAATAGGATCATTCTTCGGATCCATTTTTTCTTCTCTTCCAGTTAGTGCTCCCAAAGAAGGCACAAAAAACTCAGCCACTGCAAGAAGAAAATCTGGCACAACAAGGATTCGAGGTTGCTGCACACGAATTACATATGATTGGGATGACACCCGCCACCTGTAGTCAATCAAGAACATTGTTGAAATGGGCATTTCATCAATTCCAACTTCACTGGTTGTCTTTCTAAAGCTACCAGGGTTAAACAAAAAGGGAACATTTCCAGTAATTGCTTGTTTGGAAGCATCAGCAGAAGATCCAAGCATCAGACGCATTTCAGGTTTTGTATCAGGACGGACATCTAGAATAGAAAATTTGGGAATGGTAACAAAAAGGTCCGTCTCTGATAAAGAGGTCATACGGTAAGAAACCCATAGACCTTCCATCTGCAAAATTCACAATAACACAAAGCAGAATGTGAGATGAACATGCTCCACATATCAAGCTGAGACCAAAAGGTGAAATGATTTAAGCTAAAAAATAAAGTCAAAATACTGAAGATATGTCATGGAAACAAATTAAACTGTATATATAGACATTTGACTCACAGCAATATGAGCCAATGGAGCTTCCCCACCAGTGCCATTACAAAGCTCCAGCAAGGCATGGTTAACTGTAACAGCTATGATTGTAACTGTGCGTGACAACAAAAGTTGACTGTTCAAATTAACCTTATCAACCAGAAGCCTAATAGTATCTCTTGAACCAGATTGCCCACCACGAAAGCTAGCAGGAAGCCTTGGTTGCTCAGATAAATTCATGTATGTACAATCCAAAATCACCTTATATTCTTTATCAGACATTATACCATGCAATAGATCCACCTGCTCACAAGCACATAAAATTAACTGAAGAATTTGGTCTCTTTTGTGGAGTGAAATACAAGAACTTGAGCATAATAATTACTTGGTAAACCAATGTGGAATTAAGAGATACTCAGATTTTCATATTTGTGGATAAATTATGTTTGGAGACTTGCTTTGAGTAAGGATAACAAAACGAATTAGACTGTCAACCCATTTTCACCCATTCCGCCTAACCCGGCGGGTTGACGGACTGGCCTACTTTAAAAATTATTTATATATTAAAATTAAAATAAAAATTATAATTGAAAATATCACATTTTTTTTGTCATATAATTGAAATATGTAAATATACTATAATATTATAATTTAATTTATAAATATTATCCAATTAGGTTTAAATTATTGAAGGAGAATCTATGCCCTGAACTTGCTTAACTAAATTCACTAGAAGCTCAAAACGGGTATCCTAAGCAACACTATTAATTGTGTGATGCTGCTGATGGAAAGTGCATATTAAACAATTTGTCCACTAGCCAGGTAGCCTGGATGACGATCACTATCCTACATGTTGACTAGTATTACCATACAACCAGGCTAATAAAATTACAAACAAGACAAAAATTAGCCTTAAGTTTATTCACCAACACACTTGATTTAGTGATTCTACTTTTGAAAAGTGCATCTTTAAATAACCTGCCCACCAATCAGTACACTCTATAAATTATAAAACCTAGAAAATGTGATAACCATTGTACTAAGAAATTATAGGCCTAGAAATTGTAATGAAGTTAGGAAAATATGGTAAGTCAGCGAAGAATGTGGAACATATAATCTATGTGGGACTTGATTTTTTTCGTAATAGCTCAACTACTATTTGTACACAAATTTTGCTAGGAATGTAGCAAAAGACTAAAATCATGTATGCTAGTGGCATTCAGCACATATTTGACTTGGTTCACAACCTAGTGACCCTTCATGTTGGAGTATGGTTTTATTCTGAATTTTAGTATGTGTAGAGTAGTTTTGTTAGGTTGTTCTTTTTACAAGTACATGACAACTATCCCCTCTAACTAACTTCTGGTTAGTTAGAGTAAGTTAGAGCATAGGGATTTCATCCTCTAATAGGCAATATAACCGTTTGTTATTCTTGTGTAATTGGATTCAATTCATATCTAAAGGAATTGCAGGAACTCCCTCTATTCATATCTAAGAAGGAGGATCTTGACTTGATTATTTATTTGAACTAGTGTTATTAAATATTAACCATGATGGAAATCGATCTCAAAATTTTTTACTGCTGCCACATCAAGACGATGGTGACTGCGGTTTACCAGGGCAGCCATTATATCCACCATGGAATGATATTGTGGAACAGCCATGGCAGAAAAATCTCGCTCCTACAATCCAGCACCGCATGCTAATGGTAGAAGATCAAACTTCAAGTCCACACGACCTGATGCTAATCCTAATTAATAACTTGTCTATAAGGGTTAGGGTTATGAGACCCAATATAATAAAAAAAGGCTGGGTTAAAAACCCGGCCCAAAATCCAAAGAGAAACGTAAATACTATTTCTGGCTGCAGCCGTACCCTTCATTACTGTCTTCTCCCTTTGCAAACCCATACCTTCTCTTGTCACCACTACTTCCATTGCTGCTGCCGTCTTTTATGTTTTTCTATTTTTTTTACTTTTCTGATTTTCTTTCTCTGTTTTATGTGCGACTGAGGAGGAGGCAGATGATTAAAAATTTAAGACATTTATATTATGCGTTATTGTTATTTTAAGTTAAACTTGAACTTAAAATTTTAAAATTCATACTATTACCAATTATAATGATTGTCTTTTTTTTTTTTTGTATTTTAATTATATTCATGCATTTTATTTATATGTAAAGGGTATATATTTATTTTGTCTGCAATACTTCCACCATAACCCAATATGGAATCCGATATATTTTTATAAATGACTTTTGGGTTTCCAATAATTTTGGTTATGCGATATAGATAATACTGATTTGAACAAATCTGAATCAACCATCCAGAAAATTAAGATGATCTCAACTAGTGGGGACCTTTGAAAAGTACTAGACAAATTAGAGTGAATGTAAATGGATGAACTCATGGGTCTGTTTATTCAACTCTAAGAAGCTTCCAAAACGAATTCTCAACAGCAAGTACATGTAATTCTTAATTAATCATAATGAACATCTGTTTCAGTTGAGGAAGTAGTCATTACATAATAGATCAAATCAAACTTTGTTATATTATGTCTCTATCCTTCTCCCTTTTATCTGTCACCTGATTAGAACAGCATCTTCTCCTCAAATTAATATTCTTTCTGGTTCAATAAAAAAGAACCATTCCTCTACCAGAAAAATATTAACTAAAAAAAAAAACTAATTGGTAGTATTACAAATATACAATAATTTCATACAACATATAAGTTTCTTACAATTTAGGTTTGAATATAACTCAACTCTACAAAACCCATTTGTAAAGTAACTTATGCACCCTACTTAGGACTATATTTTATTCATGTTACTAGTCAATGTGAGACTAAAGACACTAAACCACCACCCGTAAGATTGTAATTAAGGCAACCCCAAAGAGGTTGTCACTGACGACATGGAGTGATCGCAATTAAAATGGATTTCGAATATGTTTCACACATTACCCTTAACAAGGATGTAAATCTCTTTCATGTAGTGGAGAATCCACAACTACATGGACCAATTTAAGAATCATGCATTTCTGTCAGAACTAAAGTGTGCCTACTAAAGAATCAATCTTTATTTGTAATTTGTCAACGTTGCATTTAAAAACATAATATATGGTTCTCCCCCATGACACCTCAACCAATTATTATTAAGCTTCAAGCAATACTAACTTAGTTCCCAAGGTAACTAATATGACCACCAATACCAAAAACAAAAGCACAACAATTTCTATTGAGAGATTAATGGGAACACAGTTGGTTCCACACAGAGAAAATTATAAACACTCTTGCATCCAATTCTATTCATTTTATTTTGAAAAAGTGTTTCAATTTTATTTTATGTTCACAATGCTGAAAAACATCCTCCCAATGTTACCTGGAAAAGCTATTAAATATGTCAATAACCTCATGCCTATTAAGCACTTATGGCATATTTAACCATTCGCGAGTTCATAATAATAATCACATACAAAGATTCACTTTATAGCCACCTATGCAACAAAGTTGATCAACATTAGACATTTTAAATAACATCATGACACTATTAACCACTTATGAGTTAACCGTAAGCGTCACAAATACAAATTTATTATTGTATAGAGCCATTCTTTTCTCTTAACCACTTGTCCGTAAAATTCACCATCATTGGAATTTCAATAACTTCATGACATTTTTAATCACTTGGGAGACATCTAACCATTATTAACCACAACTTGATAAAAATATAGATTGCTAATAGTTTACTTCACAAAAGGTTAAACATATTTACATGCGATTATCCACACATGGGTGAATGTTGGATGAAGAATTCCAGCAGCACATTCTCATTACCAATAATTTTTTAATTTCAATATGCTTATTAGTGCATTGACTCCAAAAAGAAAGGTACATATATTCATTCCAGAATTAGGAAATAAATAAATGAAAACACTAAAATATTAGGGTTTGGAATTGGACTTGCCTTCACTTCAAGTGAAAATGTTGGAACTTTCCGGAAAACATCCCTCAAGCTTCGACGAACAAATATATCAAGTCCTTGACCCTCACGTATCATTGGTTTTCCAAGACAACCATCAATTCCAACAGACATGTTAATACCCAGAATCTGTCATTTCATTTGTAGTCAGGAAGATGTCAATGATCTTAATTGTGAGAGCCCTTGTAACAAGAAATGTGTACCTGAGCATGAAGAAGATCAATATGCACAGCTGAAGGATCATCTTCTTGAGATCCATGCCAACTGAATTCGTTTTTAATCTGTAGCTTTCCCAGATCAAGTTGTATAAAACTGGAAGTCAATAAAGGAACAATAAGATATAAAACTATTTTCGGTTTGTAAGATATAAAACTATTTATTGTCTGTCACCTAAGAGCTTTATCTTTTAGGAGAGAAGCTTTGGCTAGGTAGGTATCAGAGTTTCTATGGCCAAGTGATCGGGGGACTTCAAGTCTTACCACTCACAATCTTCTAACTAAACGAAGTCATCATATGATGCTGCAGATATGCATGTCTATACTTCAAGTCCAAAAGGACTGTTGCATACGAAGCCATGATAGAATTTAGTTAAAAAAGTTGAAACCATTTCAGGATCCTTTGAGCTTTTATACTAGTTGTTACTTACAAAACTAGAAAATTGATTACAGAAGACTTAAGATTAATAGAGAAAAAATATATCTTCAGGGCTCTTGGGACCCTTCTCCCTTTCTTTTATTTATAACGGAAAATCAGATACATAGAAGACTAAGTAAGAGACTGCAACTAGGACCCTAGGTGCAGACTTAGATACAGATGGAGGAAGTTTCCTACACTCAACACCCTATACTTAGGTCTAATGATAATATTAGGAAGTAATGATTCTAACACTCCCCCTCAAGCTGGAGCATACAAATTGTATGAACCAAACTTGGAACAAATGAACTCATAAGAGTTCAATAATTTCTGTAAGTAAAATGGTACAGCAAGGCTCGGAACAACAGTGTGAACTCCTCAATAAAATGGCCTAGCACAATGATTCAATAGGGCAATTTTGAAACAGTGAGGTGTCCATTGCTAAGTTTATGAGTAACCATGTTATTTTGGTCTGAAGCAACAACTACTACTACTTACTAAATCAAAAGATGTCCCTTAACTACTGTAAACCTAAAGATACCTAAGGAAATTTGGTCAAGTCATCCTCATAACCTTAAAAGTTTACGAATATTTGTTTGTATTTTTTATGTACATATTAGGCAAGTAAACTTGATTGAAGAGTCGTAAATGGATGTTTCTAGGGTAGGTGCCTAGAGCAAGCATTCAAAGTGTATCATCAGTCAAGATACTGTATTCAATGAAAGAGAGATGGCATACACAACAAAGTGTACGTGCCTGATGTTAGATGAGATGTATGAAACCACTGAACATCAAGCTGAGGAAGGATACAATGTTGCGTAAAACCAAGAGTTCATTCACAGTTGTCTCGTTTATGGTAGAGTTAGAGACGATGTCAAAACTGCTTCAGTGGAAGGATTTTTAGACTCGAACTATGATGGATGGATGGATATCAGAACATCACTCACAAGTTATGTTTTCACTACATATGGTTCAAAAGTTAGTTGGAAGACAAGTTTACATAAGGTTGTGGTATTTTCTACCATTGTGGTTGAGTATACAGCCATTACTAAAGCCGTTAAGGAAGCTATGTGGAGCTGGGAGTGCAAGATTAGGTTATCACAATCTATTATAATAGCAGTAGAATCATAAAATTGTCCAAGAACCAAGTTTATCAAGAGAGGAGGAAACATATTGGTATCAAGTTGCATTTTTTGAGAAATGTGATGGCTTGAGATAAGCAATTAGCAGAAGCTTTTTCAAAACCAAGCTTGTTTAGGGGTCATCCAATGACCTTATATTCGTCTATAACATTGGTACACTATCTAGATTCTGTTAGTTCATTAGAGTTATTTTACAATGTACATATTATATATAAACGAAGTAGTAATTCCTTTGTAAAGGTTGACAAGAGTGAATATAATAGAGAGTGTATGATTATGTTTGAAAGCTTGTTGCATGTTCTCTGGTTTCTAAACATTTTTCATTAGTTTTTACCAGTGCAAGTAGATCAGAGACTGTTAATGCTCTAGTTGAACCATATAAAAATGTTGTGTATGTTGTGATTATTTTATTCTTGTTTTCATAAGGGTTCTTGTGTTTCTTGGGTGATTCAGTGAATTTGGGCTTTTTTTCACAGCATTTGTATTGTTGCTATCATAAAAATTCACAAAGCATATTAAACAAAAGCTGCTACTGATTCGCCAAACAGATTTAAAGATCACTAACTCTTTGCTCATTGAATTCCTTGGAACAATGATAATTGGGGTATCCAGTGCCAAATCCAGTTTAAGTGCAGTAGCTCCATCGATTTCATATTTCTGAATCAACCATTCAAATCCTCCAACTTTATCAACAAGTTTTATTGCTTCTTCAGTATTTGGGGAGGCAAGCTCCATAAAGTACACCATTATCTGAAACAATCAACAAATATACAAATAATTTTCCTTTAAATTAAACACTAGATGAACCCAAAGGCAAACTGTATTTACAATTTTAAACAAAACAATGCAAGAAAATGTAAACAGCTTTAAAATGAGAAACAGAAAAATACCAATTTTAATATCTGACTCCAAATTTACTGAGTTTTTGAGCATACCTCTTGCACAAATCTATAAAGGAAAACAATGCGAACAGCTGACAGATGGCCTTGCAAGCTATAACTGTATCCTTCATAGTCATCGTCTTCAGCACTATAAGAATTAAATTTGAACTGAAAACAAAAATCAATATATATATGTAAAGTTGCCATTCCAATCATGAATGACAAAGCTAATTACTAATCAGCGTGAAAAATTATTTTGAATATTAAATATTAATGGTCAAATGTTAACCAACAAATACAAATATATCTGTGTGGAAGAGACAGTCATAGAGTGCACACATATATGACAGTGACGGGGGCATGGTTATCAAACTCATGATTTAACTCTTACGATTGCAAGAGTTAACTCAGTTGTGAATAGTCTCGTTCACCCTTATTAATGTTACCTTTCAATTTTTAATCACCTAACCAGGGGAACTACTGATTTACACAGTCAAACTGATCTGGTTTTAATAACTATGGTTTTATATTAACAGTTTAAAACTTCAGAAAAAATTTTAAACATAGCTAATATTATAGTAAAACTAACAAAACAAAATAAACACAGGAATATATTTGTGACATAGAAAACACTACTAATAATACATAAATAAATTTTAAAACATCTCTTCTAAAATTGCACATTCTACGTATAAATTATAAAGGATGTACAAAACCCAAAATTATCATTGCACACAAATAACAAAAAAAATAAGCAAAGCAAAATGTTTTTCTTATTAATTTATGAGTTTTGTTATTATTCCTTATTTTGTTAGAATATTTTATAGATTATATTGAATATAAGCTTCTCCTAAATCAAAATAAACAAATTTGAACTGGCACAGTATGTACTATGTTAATAAAATAATAACAGACATGAAACCATAATAAACAATGCGATGCAGGGGTAGAATAATTTGTTTGAATATGGAATATTTGGAAAATGTATTAAAAAAAAAAAATTATATATAGACAGAGAACACACCTTTATAAGGGAGTCAACACCAGGATTACGAATGTCACAAAGCCAATCCCAGCACTGATCTGTTCCAAGGGACGTATCACAAAGTCTAACATTGCCTAACGTCCCATCAATGGAAAGACAAGTTGGGTGAACCTTGATGAAAAATATATTGAATTTCAGAGCTTGCACATATAAATGACAGTCAAAAATAGAAAGCAAAATTCCTTTTACAACAGAAGAAAATAGAAAAGAATAACTTAGAAATAGGTTGTAAACCAATAACATTTAAAGCCAGAGAAAGAGAAAGGAAGACTGCAAACTAGCTAACAAAAGGCATGTCATTACCTTAAGATCCAGTAGGAAACTTTCTTGAACTAGTGTAGCAAGTTGAGAACCATCTTCCTTGTTAAGAAAAACAGTTACACTATCCACATTCATGTTCAAATAAAATACTACACGCTCTTTACCATATCCCAACAATCCCCTAACGGCCCCCATTTCATCAGTTCTCTCATTTACGAAAAGTTTGTCTGAAGAAGTTGTGGCCGTGTCAGTGGGACTTGTAACTTTATTTCCAGAGCTTATATCCAAGCCAAAACTTATCAAAGCAACAATAGTAGGTCGGTTGCAGAAAAATTCCAGTTTGGACATACGAACACACATCTGAAGATCAACAATCAAAAGAGTGAATACTACAATATATGACAACATTAGAGAAGACCAGAATATGATCAACAAGGTGCTAAGAAGTACCTGTGTGTCTATACCATCATAATCAGGTGAGGCAGAACTCCTTGTTGTAAAGGAAACAGACACAAAATTTGAAGTATCACTTCCCAGTGCCTCATAATATACCTCACGGGGAGTGCCCTTTACCTTCTCAATATCCTTTTCATGTATTATGCTTTCCAGAGACTCAAAATCAGAAGCAATCCCCACCAATCCCTGCTGATCCAAAACCATATTATGCAAACCATGTCCTCCATCAGTTTGAGAAATGAATTCAGATAATGCATCCATAAAGCTATCATCATCATCATGAATCAATTCCTTCCCATGAGAATCAAACATGTCAGACGATAAAGTTTCATTTGTCAAGACTGAAACAGCAAGATAACGAGGAGCTACTGATAGACGACTCTGAAGTTCATCCTTAATTTTTAAAGAATGCAATTTCATCTTCACTGTCAGGTCACCCTCTGCAAGAAGGACCTGGACCTGGGAAAGAAAACAGCAATCACAGAGCATTCATAGTTGAACCAAGTTACAAAAAATGAAAAATACAAAAATCTAATTCCAAATTGGAATAACAACTAATGGGATTTTATTTGACACAATATTATTCATTTCCCCACTCTCTAAGGTCAAAACTTCAAATCATTCATCGAACTCAGCATGGCCATGTTAAGGTCTAGGATGGGATTATGATCATTTATATGAGGCAGATAATCCACTTTAACGCTCATTCTGATAAATGTCCTTTGTCAGCTTTACAGTATTCATGCATTTAAACATAATAATTTTGTCAAGGTTCTAAAAACTACAAAATTTGGAGATTCAGCCTCTCCATGTTTATTTTTAAATCAAAGGAAAGAATGTTATAGCATCACTATACAAGTTACAAACCTAACCAAGTTAATGCTGGCATTCTTAGAAATATTCTTAGGTTAAACTGAAAAATAATACCTGTTTTGTATTATTGCAACTGACTTACAAGAGTCCTTTTCATATAGAGCAAAGAGAAAGGCACAACTGTCATAGCAATAGCTGGCAAGTCTAATTAACTTAAACCCAAAAGCTTAACTACTAACAAACTATTAGAAAGCAAAGTAACTAACTACCCAAGCAATACAATATTCTCCCCTACCAAAAAACAAAACTCAAGGTGCACTATTATTTCTAGAAAGAACAATCAAATTGAGTTTGTCTCTAAACATGAAATAAGTAGAAGACAGGGGCTTGGTGATTGGGTATTGGGTTTGTTTGTGCTTAAAAATCCTTGTGTGTATTATGCACTGCAAAGGAACAAATATATATAGATATCATGATACAAAGAGCTGGGCTTGGGCCCATATATATAGCTATTTCTAACACTTATGTATATATTTTGTATTATTAACAATGATGATTATAATGGAAAAAAAAACGAAGAAAAATGAAGCCTGTTATAGAAAGAACAAAAAGAGCATAAAAATGAAGCCTGTTATAGAAAGAACAAAAAGAGCATCCCTTAAGATTTTGATATTCTACCAAAATATGCAAGAACAAAAACTTACTCTTAAATTATACTGATCTTTTATAACCATTCCGCAATACTGTGTTATTTATGCAATAGTGCTTAAAACAGGGACACCTCTCTGTATTTCAGTGCATGTGACAAAGTGCATAACATGACTATTAAAAAAATTATCAATCTAGGGGCATTGCAATTTAAAAATATATAAGCAAAAACCTTTCCCCCATCCGCAACAATTTCGAGAATAAGAGACTCATCAAGCTTTCCATTTATGTCTTCCCCAACCTGCATGCACACATAACTGTAAACAAGCAACCCTAAACAAATAAATGTAAGGAAAATTTGATAAAAATATCCAAAAGTATCAGCAAAAAGCATGTTCAACAATAGACCTTAAACAACAATATAGTTGAAAGGAATTGTTTATGAATCAAGAATAAAACATAAAACTTGCCAGAATGAGAATGTGAACAAATAAAAAATGTCTGTATGCATCAGATACTTCGCATTCCATGTGCTATTGCCAGATAAAGCCTTAAAAGGAATGCATCTAACCTTTCCATATATAAACAGCTTCAATTCCACCAGTGCTCCATTAATAACAAGGTCAGATGTTTTCGAATTAGTGGTACTAAGAACACTGTCCGAAATAGCATCACCCTCTGAGTCACCAAGCAAGTCAACTGATGGAGGAGTCTACACGCAACATGTATACTTTTATGAAATTGATAATAAATAAAACAGATATCATAAATGAACAAAACAAAAAGCATAAGAAAGCACATTAAGGATGCCGTACAGAAGCTTGATATGTGGCTTGAACAAGTCCTTTAAACCAGCTAGCCTTTTCCTCTTCTTCTCGAAAATCTAAGATCCATGTGCTAGAAGATTCCAGAGCCTATAAAGTAATTCATAATTTAAGAGAGAAGGTGAGCAAGTTACAAAAGAAATGCATTGCAAACAAAATTTTATTGTTTATGTCCCATTCAAAAAGTCATCACTGAAAAACAGAAAGAAGTAAGGTCAGCATAAAATATCCACAAGATCATTATCCTTCTGTCTCCCCATATCCTCATCATGATGTGAACAATTTAATAATTGAAAAAGTAAATTTATGCGAAAAAAACACCAAGAACAAGGGTGAGAATACTCCTGATCCAAACGAGTCAGTTACAGTTGATAGTCTGCTAGTTTGTTAGAATAGTTAGTCAAGCTCTTAGTCAAGCTCTTAGTCAGCTATAAATAGCTGAATATCTTCAGTTAGCTGTGACCTTTCTGAAGACATGTATTTATTTTACCGTAGACAGCATTAGCTTTGCATAATGTACTTGAGTGTATCTTAGCTGTCATACTAACTTACTTAGTCAGAGATTAGCTGCTCTTCTCATCCACTATATATAAATACTCTAAGTGAAACTGTTGTATTCGGTTGAAATTCATTTTCATTCATTAAAAAAAAAATTCCTCTCTTTTCTCTCCTACCCCTAATATAAGTCCAATACCAAGGCTGAATACCACAGCTTGGCCCTTGCTGCTGCTGAAATTCATTGCGTTCAGACTTTGTTATCTGCAATGGAAGTCAGTCACACTGTTGATAGGATTCTTTGTGACAATGTGAGCACTGTTGCCCTAGCTCATAATCCAGTCCTTCATGCCCAATTAAGCATGTTAGATATGATTAGATATTAGTTGATATTATTTGATATTGTTGAGATATTGTTAGATATTGTTAATCACAATATCAAATAATATCTTTTATTTACCCTATTTTGTATTTTGTTACTCTTTTGAGGAGTACCTTTCTTTATTATAAATACACTGTCCTATGTGTGGTAAATACATAAGGGAAATTAACCCTATACAGTTTTTCCTATATTCAACATGGTATCATGAGCTTAAGGTCTCTTGGGATGTTTTTTCGGCTCTGCCACTGAACCTGCAGCCATCGCCGCCACCGTCGCCACCGCCGTCCGCTGCCGCCGCCACCGCCGTCGCCGGAGTAGCAGTTCGGACCGCCGAGCACAGGGTTTTGCTCGCCTCCTCCGTGCGACCTCCACCGTGGAAGTTTCGCGGTCATCGGAGCAACCACGCTCCCCCACGCGCCTCCCGAAGCCGCGCCACCTTCTCCCGTTCCGCCGCGCGTGGCGGCGCATCTCGCCGCCGTTCAGGCCGCCACCCTTTGCGCCGGCGTCGCCTCCTTCTCCTCTCTCTGGATCTGTCCTCGCTGCTCCAATCGGACCACTTTGGTGTTTTAGGGTTTTTCTCTCCCTTCCTCCATGGCATCTTCCGCTGCCACTTCCAATTCTGAAGTTACCTCTGTCAGCTCCGGTGGGTCTGAGCAATCTGTTTTTACTAATTATGTCAATGTGAATTTACCCATTGATAAATTAGATGGTACGAATTATGCAACTTGGGCATCTGATATTAGACTTTGGCTTGAGAGTCAGGGGTATATTGATCATCTTACTACCAAGGTAGATGATGTTCCTTCCAATGATCGTGTCCGTTGGAAGAAAGTTGATGCTCATATATGTATGGTTCTCAAGAATACCATCCAATCTTCTTTAAAACAAATTTTAGATCGTATGGCACATGTTATGACGTTTGGGAACAAGCCAAATTATTATACACCAATGACACTCAACGTCTTTATGGTGTTTGTTACAATCTTCTTGATGTTATTGCTCCTCGAGATAAGGATCCTATGGCGGATTATGTGGGTAAGATCCATGCTCTTCTCCATGAATTTAATGAGTTATTACCCCTGCCTCGACTCCCGCCCAAGAATTAGAGCAACGATCAAAGTTTTTCATGGTTTTGATGTTACACGGACTTGCCGATAAATATGCCCCTGTTCGTGACCGGATTTTGGGTTCCCCCGTTACACCCGGTTTACCGCTACCAGTTCCTCCCTTTTGCGGGTGCCATGTAAACCTCTCAATATTCCCCCTGTAGTTTCTAATGATTCATCTCGCCTTGGCCTCTCACCGCGCTCTCACAAGCCGGGCAAAGGGCGTGTCAAGTGTGACCATTGTGGCAAACTAGGCCACAAAATTGACAAATGTTATGCTTTACATGGTTATCCTCGCCGATCTGCTGCAGTTGCTCAGACTGATTCTTCCGCACAATCCTCCGGTGTGGATCCTCCTTCGTCTGTACCTTCGGACAAATCTGCTATCTTCAATGATTTTCTTTAATGGTATGAGGATCGAAAGCCCTCCAGTTCCACTACTTCTGTTGCCCACACAGGTACATCTTTTGCTGGTCTGACTCACTCTTCTTCTATTGGCTCTTGGGTTCTTGACTCAGGCGCCACCGATCACATCACTGGTAACAAATCCTTATTTTCCTCTTTCACTTCTTCTCATAATTTACCCTCTGTTACAATGGCTAATGGGTCTACAACTTTAGCTCATGGTGTTGGAACGGTTACTCTTTTTCCCTCGTTGTCCATTGATAATGTTTTGTATGTACCCGGGTCCCCCTTTAACTTATTATCCATTAGCCGTCTAACTCGATCTCTTGATTGTGTTATCTCTTTTACCAAAACTTCTGTTTCCCTACAGGACCGGAGCTCGCAAAGAGTGATTGGCACCGGATGTGAGTCACATGGACTTTATTATCTTCAACCCTCTCCACATGTTGGCACAGTTATGGAGTCTCCTTCTCTCCTTCATGCTCAGCTTGGTCACCCAAGTCTGCGAAAATTACAGCAACTTGTTCCCAGCTTATCCCAGTTGTCCAATTTGGTGTGTGAGTCCTGTCAGTTAGGCAAACATAGTCGTACTTCCTTTTCTCGTAGTGTTTCCCAGCGTGCTTCATCCCCCTTTGCCTTAGTTCACTCGACATTTGGGGACCCGAGTCGTGTTAAGTCTAATTTAAGTTTTCAATATTTTGTTACTTTTATTGATGATTTCTCTCATTGTACTTGGTTATTTTTAATGAAAAATCGTTCTGAGTTGTTTTCTATATTCCAAAACTTTTATCATGAAATTAAAAATCAATTTGGTGTCTCTATTCAAACTTTTCGAAGTGATAATGGCCGTGAATATCTTTCAAACTCGTTTAAACAATTTATGGCTTCTCATGGCATTCTTCATCAAACTTCGTGTGCTTATACCCCTCAACAAAATGGGGTAGCTGAGCGCAAGAATAGACACCTTATTGAAACAACCCGTACTCTTTTAATTCATGGTGAGGTTCCTCAACATTTTTGGGGTGATGCTGTTCTTACTGCCTGTTATCTTATTAATCGTATGCCCTCTTCGGTTTTAGATAACAAAATTCCCCATTCTATTTTATTTCCTCATGACACTCTCCATCCTTTACCTCTGAAGGTTTTTGGGTCTACCTGTTTTGTCCACAATTTTGATCCCGGTCATGATAAGTTATCTCCTCGGTCACACAAATGTGTTTTCTTAGGATTTACTCGATCCCAAAAAGGATACAAGTGTTTTTCTCCTTCTCTTAATCGCTATTTTGTGTCTGCCGATGTCACCTTCAATGAGTTTTCCTTTTACTTTAAGGACCCTTCCCTACCTGCTGAGTCTCCATCTGCTACAGTTCCCATTCCTGTTCTCATTGATCCTTATGTTGAGGACCATCCACCATTAGCCCCTCCTCCTCCACCACCCCTTCAGGTTTATAGTCGCAGACCTCGCCCACAACAGACGCCACATGACTCACTCCCAGTGCCAAATACTCGCCTCCTCCGGTTCCGTCCACGAGTCCGACCTTCCTATTGCCCTTCGTAAAGGTACGCGTTCTACTCGTAATCCTTCTCCACATTATACTGCTTTAAGTTATCATCGAATTTCTTCACCATTTTATACCTGTCTCTCATCTATTTCTTCTGTGTCTATTCCTAAATCTGTCTCTCGAAGCCTTAGCCCACCCTGGTTGGCGTCGAGGCCATGCTAGATGAACTTGGTGCTCTTCGGACTAGTGGAACCCGGACGCTTGTCCCATTACCATCCGGAAAATCTATTGTTGGTTGCAGGTGGGTCTTCGCTATCAAGGTTGGTCCTAATGGTACTATTGATCGCCTCAAAGCTCGCCTTGTAGCCAAAGGCTATACCCAAATTTTTGGGTTGGATTATGGTGATACTTTCTCTCCAAGTGGCAAAGATGGCTTCTGTTCGTTTATTCATTGCCATGGCTGCTATTCAACAATGGCCTCTTTATCAACTGGATGTCAAAAATGCTATCTTGAATGGCGATTTGCAAGAAGAGATTTATATGGAGCAACCTCCCGGATTTGTTGCTCAGGGGGAGTCTTCTGGATTGGTATGTCGTCTTCGCAAATCTTTATATGGCCTAAAACAGTCTCCTAGGGCCTGGTTTGGCAAATTTAGCAACGTTGTTCAACAATTTGGCATGACTAGAAGTGAGGCAGACCACTCAGTCTTTTACCGTCACTCGAATGTTGGATGTATCTATTTGATAGTGTATGTCGATGACATTGTTCTTACAGGTAGTGACCATCATGGCATCTCTCGGATGAAACAACACCTTTGTCACCATTTTCAAACCAAAGATCTTGGCAAACTCAGATATTTCTTGGGTATTGAGGTAGCACAATCTATCGATGGCATTGTTATATCTCAAAGAAAGTATGCATTGGATATTTTGGAGGAAACTGGGTTGATGAATTCAAAGCCTGTTGACACACCCATGGATCCTAATACCAAACTCTTGCAAAATCAAGGGGAGCCAATGTCAGATCCTCGAACAATATAGAAGATTAGTTGGAAAATTAAATTATCTTACGGTTACTCGCCTCGACATTTCCTTTGCAGTCGGTGTGGTGAGTCAATTCCTCAATTCTCCTTGTCAAGATCATTGGAATGCAGTCATCCGTATATTGAAGTACATCAAAAAGTCTCCTGGAAAAGGTTTGGTGTATGACTCCCATAATCATACAAGAGTTGTCTGCTATTCGGATGCCGATTAGGCGAGATCTCCCTCCGATAGAAGATCTACATCCGGGTATTGTGTTTCCATTGGTGGTAACTTGATCTCATGGAAAAGTAAGAAACAAAGTGTTGTGGCAAGATCCAGGTGCGAGGCGAGTATAGAGCTATGGCCTCAGCTACCTGTGAACTTATTTGGCTCAAGCAATTGCTTAAAGAGCTACAATTTGGAGATGTCACTAAAATGACACTAGTGTGTGACAATCAGGCTGCTCTCCATATAAGCTCTAATCCCGTCTTTCATGAGAGGACTAAACACATTGAGATTGATCTGCCATTTTATTCTGGAAAAGATTATGTCCGGAGACATCAAGACTCGAGTTCGTTAACTCATGTGATCAATTAGCAGATATTTTCACTAAGTCTTTACGGGGACCTAGGATGGATTATCTTTGTACCAAGCTTGGCACATACGATTTGTATGCTCCAGCTTGAGGGGGAGTGTTAGATATGATTAGATATTAGTTGATATTATTTGATATTGTTGAGATATTGTTAGATATTGTTAATCACAATATCAAATAATATCTTTTATTTACCCTATTTTGTATTCTGTCACTCTTTTGAGGAGTACCT